GACAAAAGCACATGATGTCCAAAGATTTTGGAATTGCCTTGTCATATATTTAACAAGATGTTTAAACAATTTAAAAGCCATCTTGAACAAAACCAAAATAATATGCTTTTTAGATTAAAACAATACATCTTATTACAACTGCTTGCAGAGCAAGTACTTTGCTTGCTGAAACCTGATGAAGAAGTAACCAAACTGATACTTTCAGAGTACAAGTTTTTCTTACATGATAGCTGCTAAAAAGATTCACTTCTCCCACCAGAAAGATGAAGACACTCATGTACACGAAATGAAACTGAAACACAGATGGAAAAACCTAGATGACTAGTTTCTTGAAAGCCAATTATATTGCTCGATTAGCACATTTTTAGAAGCAAGGTTTATAAGGACAAACATTATTCACATGACTGTAAAACAGCAATTGCAGGCAAAATGTCTATATATATTAGGAATGAAACGATAAGTGAAGACATCACTTTCAGAAGAGATTCAGAAAATATTTTCTTCAACTGGCACGAGAAACTTCCATTTATGGGACTGTTTCCACCAAACTGAACCATCTTCAGCAACCATACCGACTGGGATTTAAAATGGAAAGGAGTCTTTACCTTAGCCGGTTCCTAGTAAACAGAAAGGAAAGGCTTAGTAATTATGTGGCAGCACCAACACTAGCAGTATCCCATAATGACAGCATTAACCAAACATTTTGTGTCACTACACCCTCCATAGGTGAGAGTGAATGGCTATTTATGTGGTAGATAACACTACTGTGTATTTCCAAGTGTTCTTCTCTCCTTCCACGTGATGACACTCCCTCTGCCCTTTATGTTAAGTACAATTATTTGACTACTTTTGGCTAATGAAACATGAGTGGAAGTAACATGTGCACATATGGGCCATAGCATATGGCCCATTCACTGCCTGTGGTACATACTCTAGTCTTCTCTTTCTCTGCCACACTAAACTCTGAACCTCATTTTGAAATGTGAGCATGATAAAATGGTGGAGTCTCCATCAGCATGCGAACCCATCAATGGATACATAGCACAAACAAAAAATAATTCTTTGCTGTTTTTAGCCCTTAAGATTTTTTTTTAAGATTTTTTATTTATTGGGGTGCCTGGGTGGCTCAGTCCGTTAAGTGTTTGCCTTCAGCCCAAGTCATGGTCCCAGGGTCCTGGGATTGAGTCCCACATTAGGCCCCCTGCTCAGTGGCGAGTCGGCTCCTCCCTCTCCCTCTGTCCCTCTCCCCCTGCTCATGCTCTCTTTTTCTCCCTCTCAAATAACTAAATGCTTTTTAAAAAACTATTTTTTATTTATTTATTTGAGAGTGAGAGCTCAAGAGCAGGGGGAGGAGCAGAGGGAGAGGGACAAGCAGATTCCATACTGAATATGGAGCCCAATGTGGGGCTTGATGCAGGGCTCAATCCCAGGACTCCAAGACCATGACCTGAGCTGAAACCAAGACTCAGACGCTTAACCGACTGAGCCAGGCTCCCCTAGACCCTGGGATTTTAGAATTTGTTATCCAGGCATAACCTCGTTTTTCCTGACTGGTATAATTTAGTGTCGTAAATGTAGAGTATAATGACCCCAGAAGCAAACTATCAGCTTACACTGATAAGAAATAAATATTCCTGGGATGCCTGGGTGGCTCACTTGGTTAAGCATCTGCCTTCAGCTGAGGTCATGATCCCAAGGTCCTGGGATCGAGTCCCACATCGGGCTCCCTGCTCAGTGGGGAGTCTGCTTCTCCCTCACCCTCTGCAGCTCCCCTGGCTTGTGCTCTCTCTCTCTGTCAAATAAATAAATAAAATCTTAAAAAAAAAAAGAAATATTCCTGCATAAAACATCAGACTTTAAAAATCTGAATACTAATATTTTTCATAATAAATTTGTAATATTTTAAATTAATATCTAATGTTATATCTCATGTTGATTCTGGCATCTCAAAAGTTTATTATATGATGTTGATATTCTGCTTCAGCCAAATATTGATTTTTAATAATGAGGCTATTTTGCATTCAGCCAAAATATATATCTGGTGCCCGCTCTAAAAATAATAAATTAAAATTGTATGAATAATTTCATAATAATAGAGGCTATGTGTCCTCTATTTAAAAGTTACAGGACATGGGTGCCTGGCTGGCTCAGCCAATAGAACATGCGATCTTGGGGTTGTGAGTTCAAGCCCCATGTTGGGTGTAAAGCTTCAATCAATCAATCAATCAATAAAATAATTACCTGACAGAAACGTGAAACAACTTGTAAATTAGGTCACAAATTTGTTTTAAGGAAATATACTTTGATCTTCTGGAATTCAGGAATTTTTTGCTGCCATCTTGCATCCTCTATCTTATCTCTTCTGCTGCTACCAGCTGGCTTCCACTACTGATAAGTTCCAGAAACCAGCAGGATTCAGTTTAGTGTTTTGTTTTGACTGCTGGGTCCCTGATGGGAACACCAAGTCAGCTGAATAAGTAAATTTTTAGGTTGGGAACAGAAAAACACAATCAACTCATTTCCTACATATTTTGGGTAATCAGATAGCCACACAGTAGCTGGTACTTATCCCAGCAAGGGGTCCAGACAAGGCTTCAGGCTAACAAAAAAGATCTTAAGTTCATATTCTCTTCCCCCTAGGGAAAAACAATGTTAAAAACTGCAGTCATTATGTAAGAGTGAACAAAGGTCAGTTCAAACACAATAGCCTACCAACAGTCTCAGTGCAGTTTTAAGCTTTAATAACTTCAGAAGTACAAATTCTACAAACTTAAAACATCCTTTGAAAGTAAAAATACCATGGCACCTGGGCAGCTCAGTTGGTTAAGTGTCTGCCTTTGGCTCCGGTCATGATCCCAGGGTCCTGGGATTGAGCACAGATTGAGCCCCGGCTCGGGCTCGCGGGTCATTGGCTTCATCAGGGAACCTGCTTCTTCCTCTCCCCCCTGCTTGTGCACTCTCTCCCTCTCTCTCTCTCTCAGATGAATAAAATCTTTAAAAAAAAAAAAAAAAAAGTAAAAATACCTAAATTTCTTTCATGCTTAGTCTTGGGAATTTTTGAACAGTAAATGTATTTCAATTTTTTGTTTCAATGTTTATCTTCAGTTGAGAGACAAACACTTGAAATTTAAAATTATTCAAAATTCATAAAATGAAATAAGTATAAAAGAAATTTAAATAAACTTTCAAGTGATGGCTTTTATAAGTTTGTAGCAATTATACTTCTGAAATTATCAAAACCTAAAAGTGCACTAAGACTATTGGGGCACCTGTACATGGAAAACTGTGGGGCCACAGAGTGCTTGAATATAAACTTTTATAATTTACACCCAGCTACATCCAAAATAAGTTGAAATATTTTGTAGCAACATATATGCGCACATGTATGCAAGGAGATGTAAAACTGAGTCTTAAGGTCTCTTGAAGCTAGAAGGACATGGTACTAAATTATTAAATCTTTAGGAAAAGGATGGGAGAATGAGGCAAATTAATACCAATATTTGTAATACAGGCTTTCTAGTATTATACTATCATTTTTACTTCAGAGGTCGTTGAGGGTCCATTTTTATTAGGGATACTTGTTCTTAAAATAGTATTGTGTTCTCCATATTAGTACTGATATTATCATTGCTAAGGATGCTTTTCCGGAAAAGTTAATTTACAAAAACATGAACATTAAGAGAATGCATTAAAACACTCCATAAATAAGGTTTTCCTTCCCTTTAGAAGTCCTCTAGGTCAGTGATTCTCAATCTTGTCTGCACAGTGGAATGACCTAAAGAGCTTAAAAAATACTGACTCTTGGGTCCCACTCTGAGCTTCTGATTCAATTAGTCTAGGCTGGAAAATGGGCAACGGAAATTTTTAAAGCCCCGCGATGATCCTACTGCATAGCCAAGGCTGAAAACCACTACTCCAGGTCAACATATAATCAGGTATAAGTCAACATAAAAAGAAGTGCAGATATTCAGACCTCCAATTTTTTAAACATAGCACCAATTGCGAAAAGAACCTAATTTAATCAACAACATGGATGAATCTCAAAAATATTATGTTGGTGGATGGAACTAGAGGGTATTATGCTAAGGGAAATAGAGAAAGACAACTATCATATGATTTCACTCATATGTGGAATTTAAGAAACAAAACAGAGGCTCATAGAGAAAGGGAGGGGAAAATAAGATGAAAACAGAGAGGGAGGCAAACCTTAAGAGACTTAACTATAGGAAATAAACTGAGGTTTGCTGGAGGGGATGTGGGTGGGGGGATGGGGTAACTGGATGATGGGCAGGAAGGAAGGCACTTGATGTAATGAGCACTAGGTGTTCTATGCAACTGAAGAATCAATAAACTACCTCTGAAACTAATAATACACTATATATGGACTAATTGAATTAAATAAAATTTTTAAAAAAGAAAAAATATCATGGTGAGCGAAATAAGCCAGACACAAAAGAGTATACTTATCCTATAGCTCTATTTACACAGTTTAAATACATTAGAACAGGGGTGGGGTGGGAGGACTGCCTAGGAAGAGACACGAAGAAAATTCCTGAGATGGAAATGTTCTCTCTTTTGATTAGGGTACACAGATATATGCAATTATCAAACTAATGGAAATGGACAACTGAGACCTGCATTGATTTCGCTTTATGTAAATAACACTTCAATTTAAAAAAAGAATAAACATAATTAACTTAAATCTGGATACCTATGATAGGGTCAGGGAGGCGGAGACATGACCCGCCGCCTTCAGAAGACCCCAAATTCTCACTAGCTTTTGGAACAGCAAACCCCAGACCAGAACCGGAGAAAACAATGAGCCAACAGCAGGGAGGGCCAAAGCCTAAGAAATCGCTAGAGGGCTGGGAGCCGGTGTCGAGCAAACGCCCACACCTCGGCGCCCGGGTGTCCCACGAAAATAAGCACCCGCCCCCTTTTCCGGTGCGCACATGGCCGTCTCTGTGTGCCTTCCGGAAGGGCCCGGGGGGAAACGGAGCCACTGCGAGAAAGGAACCGGCGGCAGCTTGGTTCCTGCGCGGATGCTGGGGCTGTAGGCGCCGCGCTTTCGGCTCGTTGCCGCTCACAGGGAAGAGGACGCCGGGGCTCGCTTTCCCTCCGCTGCCTCCGCCACTGCCATGATTCCAGTGTCGCTGGTGGTAGTGGTGGTGGGCGGCTGGACTGCCGTCTACCTGACCGACTTGGTACTGAAGGTGAGGGCCTCGGGCCTAAAGCCCAAGCCCGCGGTGTCCAGGGCCGGGGCGCAAGGCCCGAGGCCTTTTCTCTTCCCCTGCCTCGCGCCTCCCGGGCTGGAAGCGGCGCTGCCAGTATCCACGTGCGCCTTTCCGCGTGGCGCCCGGGCCCCGTGGAGTAAATAAAACGGCGGACCGCGGGAGGGGTGTGGCGGTCTGCGCAGCTGCCGCAGTCGCATTGCGGGGCGGTGCAGGCCCCGCCGCCTTCGGGTCCTGCCCGGGAGGCGCCAGTAGTGGGCTCGGGAGGGTCGGGGCTTTGCCAGACCCCGCGGCAGTGCACCTGGGAGGAAAATAAAAAGTCCGCCTAGGAAAGGCATTGTTCTCCCTCGTTGTCTTTAAGGCCACGACCCTCCAAAGACTGTGGTACTGGAATGAATCTAAATCAAGTTGTGTTTTAGACCAGCGGGCTCGAACTTTAAAGTGCATACAGTCATTTGGGGTTCCGGTTAAAATTGCTTTCTGATTCAGCAGGTTTGGGGCGGGGCCTAAGATTCTGCATTTGTAACCAGTTCCCAGGTGCTACCAGTGTTGTTAGTCTACAGACCAAACTTCAAAGTAGCATACTCAGGTAACAAGGATTTAAATAACTAGTTTTTGACTACTACAATTCTCATTTGCACCCTGTACCCACTTCTTCACACTAATCTCCTTCCCCCACCCCACACGTACATCCCGGGTGCACGGTCCACTTTTCGGCTGTTTGGGAAGGGTAGCAAAAATTATGCACAATTGTCTGACCACATGTTTCAAGCAACCTTTGAAATTGAATGGGGGGGTGAAGGTAACAAAGTCATTACAACATACAAATTTTATTCCACAGTACAGTTCTCAAGTGTTTAATAAAACCTTCATGTTATGAATACCGTTTTAAATAGAGTATTACAGTTTAGTATTGTGTGTTTTAGGTGTAACAGTAAAATGAAATGATACTTGTGCTTCTTTCTTGGATTTGAACTTACAAAGTGAGAAGGTTTTACAGTAGAGTCCTTAGAGCAAGGGCTGGGTTCAGCCACTTCCCAGCCTTTGTGACCTTGGCCAAATTACTCTCTGTGCCTCGGTTTCTTAATCTTCAAAATGGAGGTAATAATGGTAAGGATCTTCTGAGATTGTAGAGAGGATTACATTAGTTCATGTACATAAAGCTTTGCTACTCAACCTAAAGTTCAAGTACCAGCACACTCGCATCATCTGGGAACTTGTCAGAAATGTAGAATCTCAGGCCTTATCTCGGACCTACAGAATCAGAATCTGCATCTTTACAAGATTCTTAGGTGCTTCCTCTGCAGGTACTTGGCATAGTGTTTAGCATATAGCAGTACCAGCCACTGCCTCTTTCAACAGTGATTTTGTTGTTTAGAAAAAACAAAACCACGTGATTTCTTCATGTTGCATATGTGACAAAAGTCCAAAATAAAAAGAACTTTTCAAACCTCTACAGTCTCTGGTCAAGTGTGTGAGGTGATCAGGTTACTTCACTTTCAGTAACAGCCCCTAGTTCTCCAACAGAGCACTATTCCTTGAGCAAAAGACCTAACCGTCACTCAGAATATCTGCCTGGGGAATGGAGAAACCTCAAGTTTTAGGAGTCTGCACCTTCAGCTTCTCTGCTTTCAACTTGGTCTGCTGTTCCACGTTTGGTTCTTCGAAGATTTCCTTAGTAGACATATACTGAAGGGGTGTGTCACTCTACTTTTCCAAGTCCTGGAAAACAAGCAAGTTTTTAAAACTTCACCTGAAGACTGAGAACAGAGAACATTACAGATCCAAAGGCGAACAGATACCTATATTCAGTCAGGTCCTTTCTTATGACTGATACGGCTGAAATACCCTTCTAGAGACAAATTTCTCGAATGGATGAGCATCAATATAACAAAATACTTAACTGTACTTTACTGTAACTGCGGGGTAATAGGGGTCAGTGTCAGGGTATATAAAACAAAATCGTACATTACACAAGGACTTCAGACTTCCCTAAAGATAGAACTCTTGTTAAGCTGTGTATAGCAGCTATCCCCTCAACCCTGGAAAATGTAAGTTACTAAGACCCAAGATGGCTTTACGTAAGTTTTGTACTTTTAAATGATAAAAGGCAGCCTAATTTCTTATGAGGTTGTTGCTCATAAGAGGATAGAAAGCACTGATTCCATCTAACTCGTCCCCTGTGTTGGATTGGTTGGGGGTCTTTTTAAATTATAGCACAAGACCTCTTTTTGTTGTAACAAGGCTTCTAGAACTCTTCTGTCTAGTGTGGTAGCCACTAACTACGTGTAGTCATGGAGCATTTGAGATGGCACTAGTCCACATTGAAATGTGCAGTAACACTGGATTCAAAGGCTTACATACAAATAAGTAAATGAAATGTAAAATATTTCAATAGTTTATTACATGTTGAAATGATAATATCTTAAGATATTCTTAGTTTAAAAATATATTTAAATTAATCTGTTTCTGTTTACTTTTTAAAATTCAGCTACTAGAAAATTTAAAATTATATATGTGGCTTGCATTTGTGGCTCACATATTTCTGTTGGACAGTGCTCCTCTAAGCAGAGCTCAGCAAGCTTTTTCTGTAAAGGGCCAGATGATAAGTATTTTAGGCTTTGTGAGCCACATAGCATCTCTGTCACATATTCTTGGTTTTTGTTGTCTTTTTTTACAATCCCTTAAAAATGCAGAAACCATCTTTAGTTCACAGGCTATACAAAAACAGGCTGTATTATGGGGTCCCTGGCTGTCTCAGTCGATAGAACATGTGACTTGATCTCAGGGGTCGTGAGTTTGAGCCCCACGTTGGGCATAGAGATTACTTTAAAAAAAGAAAGAAAGAAAAACAGGGTGTAGGCCACATTTAACCCATGGGCCATAGTTTGCCAGACCCTAACCTCAACAGACCAGCTAGTCTGAGACCTTTAATATCCTGAAGAATAAATATAAAGCTTTTAAATTATAAGTATCTGGACAGTCAGTATCTTGCATTCCTATAGAAAAGACTTTTTTGATTTTCTTAAACTTCATACATGTTCTTCAAAACTGAGTGATGTCGAACTTTTCTTTCTCTCCTAGTCATCTGTGTATTTTAAGCATTCTTATGAAGACTGGCTGGAAAACAATGGATTGAGCATCTCCCCTTTTCACATAAGATGGCAAACTGCTGTTTTCAATCGTGCCTTTTACAGTTGGGGACGGCGGAAAGCAAGGATGCTTTACCAGTGGTATTCTTCATTTTCTTTTTTTTGTTTAAATCAGTCGTTGTGATCATGAGAAATGCTTGTTGAATGAACTGTTTCCATTATTTTCCAATCTGCTGAGTTTTAAAATGGTTGTATAAAACTTTTCTGGTTTTATATAAACTTAGGAGATTACATCATTGTACTTTTGCATACATCAAAAATCAAGGTTCTATATCTTGATCTGGGTGGTAGATACATGGGTGCACATGTAAAAATTCTGTGAGCTGTATGTATGAGACTTGTGCACTTTACCGTGTAAGTTATACACTACTAGAAATGCAAAAACAAAAGAAATGCAAAGAAAAATTGGAGCATTTTCTATCAGGAAACTAATTCTGTAGAATTCTATCCCCTGTCATCACACATAGAAACAAGGGTCCAGGGAGTCATAGGATGCCCAGAAGTCTGCAGGCTTTTCCCTATACTTCTTTTGTGATACCCCTCCAGGAGAATGATATTTAAAATATTTCACAACCAGTAAGGCATATACACAAACCAATTGGGAAAATGGCCCGCCAGATTGTAGCAGCAGGGTTCTGGAGTCCCCTGGCCATGCCAGGCATACCCCTTTAGTTTACCAAATTTCTTCAATCGAGGAGCATATAGTGTTTATTGTTAAGAGGTTCATAATGATCTCTGGGATACCGTAGAGACTGACAGGTTTTGTAGTTGGCAGAATTTCTAGTGTGGGCATAGGAGGCCTTTGTCCAAATTCCTTTTTGCTAGAAATTTAGCTCCAAATGGAATAGAGCTAAATGTAAATAATCAGATCATTAAAAAGCAAAATATGTAATAGTGGATCAAACAAAATAGAAAGAAATTATAAAGAGCAGAAATCAGTGAAATAAAAACTATACAGAAAGAAAGTCAGCAAAGCCAAGTGTTGGTTCTTTGAAAAGATTGATAAAACTAATAAACCTCTTCCATAATTATGAAGAAGAAAATACAAGTAACTAAAAATCAGAATTGAATGGTTAGTATAAAAAAGATAAAAAGCAGTAAGCATTAGCAAGGATGCAGAGAAAAGGGAACCCTAGTGCACTGTTGATGGTAATATAAACTGGTGCAACCACTGTGGAAAACAATATGGAGGTTTGTCAAAAAAAATGAACTAAAATACCAGCATATGGTAGCTACACTTGTGGTGAACACAGGTATAAACTTGTTGAATTACTATGCTGTACAGTAAAACTAATGTAACATTGTATGTCAACTATACTTCAATTTAAGAAAATTAAAAAAAAAATACCATATGATCCAGTAATTCCACTACTGGATATTTAGCCAAAGGAAACAAAAACACTAATTCAAAAAGATAGATGCACCCCTATGTTTATTGCAGCATTATTTACCATAGCTGTGATATAGAAGCAGCCCAAGTGTCCATCAAGAGATGAACGGAGGGGTGCCTGGGTGGCTCAGTTAAGTGTCCAACTCTTGATTTCAGCTCAGGTCATGATCTCAGGGTCGTGAGTTCGAGCCCTGTGTCAGGCTGTGCACTGGGTGTGGAGCCTGCTTAAGACTCTCCTTCTCCCTCTGCCTCTTGCCACCACCCCTTGTTCTCGCCCCCCGCCTCTCAAAAAAAATAGATAAATAATAATAAAAGCTTAAAAAAAAAAAGACGAATGGAGGTGCTCTTCGGTGGCTCAGTCAGTTGATCGTCCGACTCTTGGTTTCAGCTCGGATCATGATCTCATTGATCGTGGGATAGAGCCCTGCTTCGACTCCACACTCAGCAGGGAGTCTGCTCGAGGATTCTCTCCCTCTGCCCCTCCCCCCACTCGCTCTCTCATTCTCCCTCTCTCTCTCTCTAGAATGAATAAATAAATCTTTTAAAAGGAAGATGAATGGATAAAGAGGGTGTGGTATATATACATAATGGAATATTAGCCATAAAAAAGAATGAGATCTTGCCATTTGCAACAACATGGATGGACCTAGAGGGTATTATTATAAGTGAAATAAATTAGACAGGGCCAGACAAATACTGTATGATTCCACTTATATGTAAAAACAAAACAAATGAACAGCCAAACAAAAACTAAGCAGAATCTTAATACAGAGAACAAACTGTTAGTTGCCGGACAGGAGGTAGGCAGGGGTATGGGTGAAATAAGTAAAGGGGATTAAGAGGTACAAATTTTCAGTTACAAAATAAGTCACAGAGATGAAAAGTACAGCATAGGGAATATAGTCAATAATACTGTAATGATATTGTATGATGACTACACTTAGCATGGTGAGTATCGAATAATGTATAGAATCGCTATGTTGTATATCTGAAACTAATATGTTAATTGTACTTCAATTTAAAAAAATCAGAATTGAGAAAAAGGAACATTACTGCCTATTCCATAGATGTTTTTAAAAAATGAAACTATTGTGAACAATTCTATGCCTATACATTTGACAATTTAGATGAAACAGACAAGTTCCTTGAAAAACACAACTTATAAAAAGTTAGAAAATATGGGGCGCCCAGGTGGCTCAGTTGGTTAAGCGACTGCCTTCGGCTCAGCTCATGATCCCGGAGTCCTGGGATCGAGTCCCGCATCGGCTCCCTGCTCAGCGGGGAGCCTGCTTCTCCCTCTCCCTCTGCTGCTCCTCCTGCTTCTGCGCTCTCTCTCTCGCTCTCGCTCTCTCTGGCAAATAAATAAATAAAATCTTTTTTAAAAAAAAGTTAGAAAATGTAATAGATTATTCCCAACTATAGAAGGGTAATTTGTAATTATTAAAACAGTAGAAGGAAACTGTTGTTAAAGTTTACCATGTTAATATTTAAGCTCATCACAAAATATAGCTAAAATAAAATGCAAACAAAAGAATTGGTAGGGGAAAAAAGAAATGGATGTCTATAATGTCAAAAGGGCTTTTGTAATTATATGAGAACGAGATCAAAACAATTCTATGTAAATGGGCAAAAGACATGAGAGGAAAGAAACTTTTTATTGGGAACAGTATTCAGCCTCTTCATCTATGAGAGAATTATAAACTATTACAGCTGCTTAGAGAGATCAGTGCCTGTGCTTCAGTCACATACCTGAAGTTCAGGTAGGAAAACAAGGCATAAGTAGTGAAATTTTTTTTTTTTTAAGATTTTATTTGACAGAGAAAGACACAGCGAGAGAGGGAACACAAGCAGGGGGAGTGGGAGAGGGAGAAGCAGACTCCCTGTCGAGCAGGGAGCCCGATGCGGGACTTGATCCCGGGACTCCAGGATCATGACCTGAGCCGAAGGCAGTCGCTTAACCGACTGAGCCACCCAGGCGCCCCAGAAGTAGTGAAATTTTTAGCCATTATTTTGAAGCTATGAAATGTGGCTGGTCGATGAATTTGTTAACCCACAAATTGTAAGGAATTGTGTGTTTATGTGATTTTGTTTCCTCCCGACAGGTTCAATTTTGGAATGGTGTTTGGCGTAATTGCCATGTTCAGCTCTTTTTTCCTCCTCGGGAAAACGCTAATGCAGACTTTGGCACAGATGATGGCTGACTCTCCCTCTTCTTATTCTTCCTCCTCTTCCTCCTCTTCCTCTTCCTCCTCTTCCTCTGCTTCTTCCTCTTCATCGTCTTCCTCTTCCTCCTCCTCTTCCTCCTCCTCCTCACTTCACAATGAGCAAGTGCTACAAGTTGTGGTAAGTACCTTCTTTTTGCTTTTTAAGTTTATTGCAACATGAATATAAGGTATTTCTTCTGGCTAGCATAACTCCTCTCCATATTATAAATATGGAAATAGATGAAAAGTCTCATTTCTCAAATTACCTGCTTAAACAAAAATATTAATGGGAATCTAGCAAAGATTTGTTGCAATATGTAGTTGCAGCAGTACTAATAGAACAAATGCACCACCATCAAGATTGTCAACAGTTATACAGATACTTGATTCAATTCATGTTGTCTTCTCGAGGTGTTAAATGATTGTTTCTGTCAAGGAATGAGGTGACCTATTTAAGATCTCTATACTGTATAAATAAATTGCATTTTAACCCTGTGTAAAGTGTTCCCCTTTCCTCTTCATGGCTTTCAGACTCTAAGCAATAATATCCTTTTATTTAAAGATACAAGACCTTCAGTAATCACTGTGATTTCCTGATGTGAAGAATAATGTGCTGAGTTTTACTCCTTTACTCCTTTATAAGCTATTTATAATAATTCTCACTTGAAAGCACATGTATAAACCTATATCTTATTGATGCATGTCTCCAGAGTGCGGAAGGGTGCTTTACCATTGACTAACTTTTATTTCAAATTTTTTACATGTATTGTTTTTATTTCCATGAGTCATGGGTGTTATGTTCTTAATCGTGCTCTTATTAATGGAATAGACTATTTAAGAGCTAGTTACTGATTTTTTTTTAACTCTTCTTTTTGTGGTTTCTACTAGGCTGGGCCACTATGGATAGATTTAGAAGTCATTTGTAGAGAATGATAATGAATCTCTCCTATGGTCATAGCTCTTTTTTAGAGGTTCAAAGGATTCGCCAGGTGAGGCCTCAGAAGAGATGATTTATTTCTTCGACATTTACTAAATGTATTCTGCCTACTGGCCCTATGCTGAATCCTGCTTATATGGGGAACAAAATCCAATCCTAGCACTCATGGAGCTTTCAGTCTAGAGGGAGAGCTGCCGTGATTGTGCTACAATTGGACAGAGTACCAGGTGCTATGGCACAGAGAAGAGGCATGCTGAGATGTCCCTGGCCCTGGGAAGAGAGGAGAGGAGAGCTTCAAGGGAAGGGTGAGGAGACTCCCCATAGCCTCTAAGGAAAGATGGCAATTGAGCATCCCAGTAACAGAGAGAACCATATTTGCCTATTAAAGATCTCTATACCGTATAAATAAATTGCATTTTAACCCTATGTAAAGTGTTCCTCTTTAGGGAGGGGGGAATAATAGAGTAATAATAACAGTGCTTCCTGTGTGAGGTTTTTGTGCCCATTTTATTTTATTCTTGCAACAATCTAGAGATAAGTATCTCATCACAGATGAGAAAACCAAGGAAGGGAGATGTTAAGCCACTTGCTTGTAGTCACAGCTTGTATATGGTGGGCCCAGTGTTCACCCACCACTGACCTCAGAGCCATTATGCTGTACTCCCTAAAGAAAGACCAGTAATTCTTCAAGGAACTATAAAGTAACTTTCACCTGTGTCTAGGTGGTATATTGGCATATGGTATATGGTACAGGAGATAAGATGGGAAATAGAGAAGATAGGGTCTGGATTATGAAAAGACCATTCTAAAAAGGTTTTTTTGGGGGGGGTATCTGGCTGGCTCATTAAGGCTGGAGTGATCCCAAACTCTCAGGCTACACAATTGGTTATTGTTTGCTAAAGAAGAGATAGTAGAAAAAGAAGCAGGTTGGGAGGAAATGTGATCATTCACCTGTCTGCCTGCTAGGATTAGAATGGCAAAGTGTTATTATTATTTCTTCTTTCTGCTTCTCAGTTTATTCAAAGAGTTCACAAAAATATTGACTCTGTTAGGAGAGTCATGCTTCAGAACCATGAAAAAGCTGTCCTCTGTAGTCCACTGTGCATATTTATGTGTACATTTAAGAATGTTATGTCTTCTGGCTTTGATATGGGTTCTTGTAGCTCAGAGAACGTACTTTCTATTTACATTATAATTCCTACAGCCTCATTCAGTATTAATTCCCAAAAACCTGGCACTCTGTGTCATTGAGAGATCAGAATTCTGGTACATTTAATACCCTGTGTGATCATGGCCAAGACAGATGGGCAGTCACATACTGTTGCCAGCAAATAAGACCTACCATCTGTTAGTATAGTCACATACTCAAATCCTTACCTTATCTCATCATTACATCCATAAAATAATAAAGCAAAAGGGGCACCTGGATGGCTCAGTTGGTTAAGCATCCAACTCTTGATTTCAGCTCAGGTCATGATATCAGGGTTATGAGATCAAGCCCTGTGTTGAGCTGTGTACTCAGCATGGAGTCTGCTTGAGATTCTCTCTCTCCCTCTCCCCCTCCCCCTGCTGATGCTCTCTCTCTCTTGGATGCGTGCATGTGCATGCGCACGCACATTCTCAAATAAAATCTTTTAAAAATGATAATAAAGCAAGGGAACCAATGTCCTATTGAATCAAGCCTACTGATGTATTTGAAATAAAGGTAAAATAAGATGGATACTTGTAGAGAGAGTGTGTATAAGAATTAATCTTAAGTACGTAAATTTAGAAGAGGGGTCAGAGAAAAGGAAACTAGTGATCTGAACAGGCAGACCCCTAACAACATGGAAACAGAGCAGGTATGTAGAAGAGCGTACCCTGATATTTTTTTTTTTTTAAGATTTTATTTATTTATTTGACAGAGAGAGATAGCGAGAGCAGGGACACAAGCAGGGAGAGTGAGAGAAGGAGAAGCAGGCTTCCTGTGGAGCAGGGAGCCCGATGCGGGGCTTGATCCCAGGACCCCGGGATCATGACCTGAGCCAAAGGCAGCCGCTTAACGACTGAGCCACCCAGGCACCCCATCCTGCTATTCTTAGAAAGAGTTGTTTAGTAGGGGCTGAGTAAAGAGAACTTCAGATAATGAGCATCATAAAAATACATTTTGACCATTTATTTACACATCTAGGACTCTAGTTTTAAGGAAACACTTCCAAATATGGAAAAAAAGTATTCATCAAATTCTTCTCCTAACATTATTTATTATTACGAAGAATTAGAAACAATCACAATGTGTAATTGAGGAATGCTTAAGTTATGGGATTGTCATACAGGGAAATATTATGCATACATTAAAAATGAAGATTATGAAAACTAGTTTCATAACTAAGGAAAGACACTTGCAATTTATGAATTTAGAAAGTGATCCCTGCAACATGGCTTGAATCTCCTCTTCAGTTACTAAAGGAGACTTAAAAGTGAAATTCCTCTGTGCACAAAAATAAATTCCAATTGAATTAAAATTGAAACACAAAATCATGAGACCTTGAAAGATAAAAAACGGGTTTCTGCTATATGAACACAGAATTAGGATGACATAAGCATAAAACTAAAGGCACAAACCATGAATATTGATAGCTTTGATGACAAAAATTTTTATATATCAAAAAACTAAAAGTAAAATAAAATTAAAAAGCAAAAGAACTTGGGAATACATCTGTGATATGTATTACAGAGGACTGATCGTTGATATTCAAAGTGATCTTCTAGAGCAATAAGAACAAAAGAACACTCTAGGAGAAAAAAATAGACAAGTCATGAGTAGACTACTCACAAAAGACCTATCAATGGTCAGAAGTAGGGGAAAAAATTGAGCTTTAATAATCATCAAAGAGGGGCGCCTGGGTGGCTCAGTCATTAAGCATCTGCCTTCGGCTCAGGTAATGATCCCAGGGTCATGGGATTGAGCCTCGCATCGGGCCCCCTGCTCAGTGGGGAGTCTGCTTCTCCCTCTGCCTCTCCCCCTGCTTGTGTTCCCTCTCTCGCTGTGTCCCTCTCTGTCAAATAAATAAAATCTTTAAAAAAATAAAAATAAAAAATAATCATCAAAGAAATATAAATCAAACAAACTTTTTATTTCCCTCAAATTGCAGATTTGAAATATTTGAATAATATTACTTTGCCCAAGGTTATGGAAGGGTCTGCTTCTGGAGAACAGTTTGATATGTATCAAAGTCCTTTAAATTTTGTGTAATGATAGCATTTATTACTCTCCATGAAGCATAATATTAAACATGGGACAAGGATTATCTTATTTAATCCTCAAAATTACCCTTTTATGTAAATGTGGTTATTTCCATTTTAATAGTGAGGAAATTGCAATGTTGGGAATAATCCAAACTTCCTTGAGGTCACTTTAGCTAGTTAGAGATGGATCCAGAATGTCAAAGAGCCAGAACCAACCATGCTTGTCTAAGAATTTATTCCCCCCAAATATTTGAATATATGTGTCCAAATGGGTTTATCACAGTATTTATAAGAGGAGAAACTTTTTAAACAATTATATGCCTAACAGTCTATTTTATAGAATGCAATACAGGTATTAAAAATCATGTTGAGCCAGAAAACACTCATGGAAAAATGTTTATGATACCATTAAGTGAAAGGGGCAGGTTTCAAAACCATATTTATAATAAAAGTATAATTTTTTAAAAATATATGTATATGAAAAGACTAGAAGGACATAAAACATTGAGAATGGTTTTTTGTTTTGTGTTTTGGGATCAGGATTATAGGCTTCTGTTTCTCTGAGTTTTCCAGTTTATAATTAAAGTAATAATAAGACAGAGGAGGAATTTCCTCTAGAAGGATACTTTTAGGGTCCAACTCCTGGACTATGAGAAATAGATGCTCAGTATGTAAATAATATTAATGATGTGTGCCCCACTTAACCTAATTTATGGAATTTCTCCTTAACAGATGACAGAACTTGGGAATGATTATCTTACAAGGCGATTCTTGGGTATCTAAAAAACTATACCATGCAGCCCTGACAATAGCAAACTTGCTTTGTGTATGCAGTGATACATGCACATCATCATAGGAACATGTGCTTGCAAGACAACTTCTGCTTCTTAGGTCCTTGATATGTCTGTATGTTCCAAAGAACTTACTTCCTGCATTAAATTTTAATATAATACTTATGTATCATTTTGATACTATTTTTCTGACCAGTGTACTAGACAAATTTGATGGAATCAAAGAAATGGAGGTCATGGTGCTCCCACTCCCACACCAATGAGGCACTTGATTACACTACTCTTAATTACCAGTGCTCATGTAACTCAAGAATATTAAAATGAAAACTCATTGATGGGAGGCAGGAATATCCTATATTACTCACTTAAGTACTTGGAACCTTGCAATAACAATTCAGAGGAAGGACTAGGAATTATAATAAGAATTTCCATATCAGGCTTCTAGCCCCTGAGGGTAGAACAGTTGCTGACTCTGTCACTGTCACTCCGCATTCCCTGACACTTTGCCAGGCTCCCTAATTCTTTCCCATGGTGAATACTTCAGGAAGCTAAAGTTTTTACTTTTTTAAAAGATTTTATTATTTATTTGACATAGAGAGAACATAAGCAGGGGGGAGGAGCAAGGGCAGAGGGAGAAGCAGGCTCCCAGCTGAGCAGGGAGCCCAATGCAGGGCTCGATCCCAGGACGCCGGGATCATGACCTGAGCCGAAGGCAGACGCTTAACCGACTGAGCCACCCAGGTGCCCCAAAGTTTCGACTTTTTAACCTGGTGTTTACTGTTATCTTTAGATTGGTGGTGTGCTTAGTTCAAAAACTGCCTAGTTCAGAAAAACTGATGGGTTTTTTTTAAAGATTTTATTTATTTATTTATTTGACAGAGAGAGACACAGCGAGAGAGGGAACACAAGCAGGGGGAGCGGGAGAGGGAGAAGCAGGCTCCCCGCAGAGCAGGGAGCCCGATGCGGGACTCGATCCCAGGACCCTGGGATCATGACCTGAGCTGAAGGCAGTCGCTTAACCAACTGAGCCACCCAGGCGCCCGAAAAACTGATGTTTTTACTTTCATTGTGATATAGTAGAGAAGTGAACCACTGCTATTCATATTACTTTTACTTTTTTTAAAAAAGATTTAATTTCTTTATTTGAGAAAGAGAGAACATGAGCAGGAGTGGGGGGCGTGGGGGGTGCGGATTCTCCAGCAGATTCAGTGCTGACCACCGAACCTGAAGCGGGGCTCAAGGCAGGACTCAATCTCATGACACTGAGATCATGACCTGAGCTGAAACCAAGAGTCAGATGCTTAACCAACTGAGCTACCCAGGCACCCCTACTTTTAGTTTCCAGAACCTTCAGCCTGGAAGTTTAAGCTTTAACATGGAGCGAACATCGTGGTTTCTTTGTGCCCATGTGTGTATTTATCATTGTGTCTGTGAACAGGTTCCTGGTATAAATTTACCTGTCAACCAACTGACCTATTTCTTCGCTGCAGTTCTCATTAGTGGTGTTGTACATGAAATTGGACATGGGATAGCAGCTATTAGGTAACATTTTTCTTTCTACTACATGTAAAAACTTTTTACTTAGGAGCGTTTATTACTAAAATCTGCTAAATTTGATAGTTTTTTCTTTCTGTGGATATTGCCCAGTGCATATCCACATTATTTTGAGGTACCTTCTCTTTTATAATGATTAATATATTGATGAATATACTCAAATAACTATGTGCATATCTGTAATCTAGGTCTTCTACCCTTTGCCTTTTGCCAGCCTGGTTATATCGTCATGGTGCTTCAAGATTTTCATCAAACCCTGAAACCTAATCTTTATATTCATTATTAGGTCGGAATGATAACCACTACACTTGGAGACCACCCACCTGCCTTCTTAGTACTTTGTTTGACTTATTGGCTGAAATACTTTCCTGCTTCTACTCATGGCCTCTGCTGGCTAGAGCAAGAACACTGAAAGCTCTGGGTTTGTTAACAAATATCATAGCCTATCTAGAAACCCAAGTAGAAGATAAGAGAGGATGAGATCTGGAACTTGCTTTAAGTATCATGCCCTGTTCTTGTTTTGACTACTCAAATGTATCATTGTAATTACACCTGAGCATTTTAAAGGCTCCTAAACTTATAAAATTGTGATAAGGGAGCACAATGCCCCCTTCACTCCCACTGATAATTAACTGCCATGGTGAACACACATACTGATGGGAATGTGTTTTATCCTCTGAGTATGTGGACCAGATAAAAGATTTTATAGAAGAAGATGTAATCACTTCTTATTACTTTCCAGTTGCTTATGAACAAGAGTCTGTTGACTGCCGATAAACCCTCATCTTGACAGAGCATATGCTGTTACACAAGTGTGACATATAGTGGTTTAAGTGGGCAGCTACTTTTTTTTTTTAATCTCTCACCTTTGCTTCCTTATTTTTAGCATTGCAGCTTTTAGGGTTTTGCATATAAAATCATTGTTATTAACAGTTTAATACTTCAGTGTACGTTTGTGAAACAGTATGGGTAATCTTTTATAAAATCCAACTGCCAAGTGAAAGTGAATTTTACAGTCATATTCAGTACTAAATGAAAGCACAATATATTTGGGGAATGTTTTTTTTAGAGTAGCTGTTTGGTCTTATGAGGCTATTATATGTAATTCCATTTTTAGAGAATGAATTGATAAAAAGTAGTTCTCTTAAGGACAATTTGAGCATTATGCATATTTAAGTATACTTATTTTAACAATAATTCAACAGGAATACACTTAAACCTCTACTTTTATGAATAATAGCTAAAACAGATATAAATATTTAGATACTTTACTTGAGTTATATTTTCTTTTGTGTCCTTCTCTGAAAATAATTCAGAGTAAACCATAAAAATGTTTTTCATTTAGTTTTTCACAAATATTAACCATTTCTTTATATATGTGACTAATTTCAAGTTATTTGCTCAGCATATTGGTTTCTAAAACTTTTGAAGCTTTAAGCCTATTTCAGAATGCCCTTGTTTTACATAATGAAATTTCAGACAACCAAATCTGTACACTATTGTAAAATTACGAGATAAATATACATCATATATGAGTTTATTTTTCTCTACTGTCCAGAGAGACTTGTTAAGCAAGAATTTAAATCACAGTGGTAAGTTTTAAAATACATTCTTAATTTGAAAAATGCAGTACTAGTAGTAAATTCCTTTTTCTTATGTGATTTCTTAGGGAACAAGTTCGATTTAATGGCTTTGGGATTTTTCTCTTCGTTATTTATCCTGGAGCATTTGTTGATCTGTTCACCACTCACTTGCAACTTATATCACCAGTCCAGCAGCTAAGGATATTCTGTGCAGGTAACAAACTTAAATTTCTTTATTCATATGTGTATCATTATGGAAAATACTCACTTCACAAATGAAAACATCTCACCTTTTGGTTGATAAATTCAGTTTGTAAGATTCTCAGTTAAAAGTAATAAAGCAAGGGGCTCCGGGCTGACTGAGTCTGAGGAGCATGCGACTCTTGAGCTTGTGAGTTTGAGCCCTATGTTGGGTGTAGAGATTACTTAAATATTTTTTTAAAAAGTAATAAAGCAAAATAATGTACATTCCAGTGCCTTCAAAAACAACAATTTTTAAAAGGTTGAAAGTAAAATGAACAGGACATACCATGGAAACGTGAACAGGAAATATGACTACATTGTTAGTTAGACATAGGGGGTGACTTAATAATCATAAGGAGGGTAATCCACAGAGAGAATGTAATCATTGTGAACTCACTGCATCAAGTAACAAACCATCAAAACAAAAATGGAAAAGATGCAAGTGCAAGGAAAAAACAAAAATGTAATGAAGGAAGCTTATCTCATCTCTTAATACATGGCAAGTAAGTATGAAAAGTCAGATCATCAAAACTCGAATTAGTAAAGTAAAATTCAATAAATATGTCAAACTCTATATCATGACAGTTTCTTTTCAAGTGACCATGAAACATAAAAATTGACCAATTCAGTTCCAAAAATAATTGTGGTATATTTAAAAATGATAATGACATAAGTTGTAAGGTTTTGCTAAAAGGAAAATTCACTGTCTTACACAGTTATGAAATAAGAAATGAAAGTCAGTTAAACATTCAACTGAAGAAGTGAGAAAAGAACTATAAAATAGTTAAGAAGCAATGTAATAAGGATGTAGGTAGAAAATTATAAATTAGGGGAAAAAAAAACCTTAAGCCCGAGAGGTTTGAAGAAAAAAAGGATTATACATGGCAAAAAGCATGTATAGACAGAATGACAACCGATACAGAAAAAACTAAAACAATTATAAAAGTGTTCTTTGTTCATCTCTGCAAAAAATTTTCAAAAACTTGGATAATTAATTAAAAATATAAATGGCATAAACTCCAGAGAAGATAGGAAAAAAAATCTAAATAGGCTAATTACAATGGGAGAAATTTAAAAAGTTGATGAAGAATGCCCCTGAAAGTTTCATAGGTGTAATTCTTTCCAATCTTGAAGGAAAGTTGTTTTTTTTATTCTAATTTAGTATAAACTTTCCACAGTGCATGGAAGAAATTTAAAAAAAAAAAATTAGGCTAATATAACACTGATACAACATCTTGTAAAGTACCAAAAACTCTACATACGGTGTATCTAAACAATGCAAGGATGGTTCAACAATAGGAAATGTATTTGAAAGTGGTAAACATTATTTACCATTAGGGAAAAGTAATCCTCATCTAGCAGATATTGGACTGGGTATTTAACAAAATTCAACATCCATTAATGGCTAAAAAACCAAAAAATTTCCTTAGTAGAAGTAAAAATAGCTGGATACTTCCTAATGGCATAACACTAACAAGCATTCCTATTAAAGGATAAGACAAGCAATCCCATTATCAATTATCACTGATACCATTAAATGGGTCTCTAAATACGGGTCAGTACAGTAAGAGGGAAGAAAGAAGCAAAAATATTAGGAGTAAGCCTTTTTTTCCAGATACTGTTATATACTTTGGTGGGGGAAGGAAAGGAGAAAAATCAACAGAAATATAGAAAAATTCGGTGAAAAACCTAGTTACCGAATTAACATTCAAAAAACAATAGTGTGGCGTTCGGAGTGGGGAGGGGAGGGTGACGTGTGCATGAGGGCTGGAGCGTCCACGAGCGCGTGAGTGAACGTAAGCATGCGCTTGTTGAGGTAGTGGGAAGCGCATGCGCCTGGCGCTCCCAGAAGCCCTCGCGTCTTCCGTGTTCTCGGCGTCCTCGGCCACGCCTTCCGAGTCTTCTGCTTCTTCCCGCTCAACCGCCCACACCGTCCTCTGGCGCTCGCGCTTTCCTCTGGAGCTCTCGCTTTTCTCTCAGCCTTTAACGCAGCCTTCCAGCCGCCCACCCGCTGCCCAGGAGCCAAAGCCTTTGTGGAGCTCTCAGCCATGGCCTCAAAGGACGCTCTCTACATCCCCACAGAAAATTCGGAGGTACTTACAGATACTGTGGAGCTGCACCAGATCAATGTGGAGACCGTCCCAGTAGCGACCGTCCCTGTGGCGGCCGTCCCTGTGGAGACCATCCATGTGGAGGCTATGGCGATGGAAACCATTACGGAGTATGAGATTATCAGCGGCAGTTGGGTACACGGTGGCCACTACCATCCGCCTCTGTTCGCGCTGCAGCCGCTTACTACCAGCAACCCGAACCAAGGGGACCACAACCAGGAAATAATCATGGTGCAGACACAGGAGGAAGTGGTGGGCTGCTACGAGTCAGACAACCTGCAGGCCAACAGCAGTTTCGAGGACCAGATGGTCATTCCGGTTGATGAAAACAACTGCTTCCAGCAGACCCTGGCTTCCTTGTCAGCTACCACATCATCATCAACCTACAGCCGCAGCAAGAAGCGCAGCAGCCGAAGCTGGAAGGCCAGCGGTAAGAAAAATTACACCACCAATGAGCCCCAGGCGGGAAGTAGCAACTGCAGGATGGGCCCCAGGAAATGGGAGCAGAAGCAGGTGCAGATCAAAACCCTGGAGGGTGAGTTCGCCGTCACCATGTGGTCCCCAAGTGAGAAAAGAGACCATGAGACAGGACAGATTGAGAACTCAGCTCCTGATTATTCAGAGTACATGACAGGGAAGAAGCTTCCTCCTGAAGGAATACCTGGTATTGATCTCTCAGATCCTAAACAACTGGCAGAATTTACTAGAATGAAGCCAAGAACACCCAAAGAAGATGCTCCAAGAACAATAGCTTGCCCTCATAAAGGCTGCGTGAAGATGTTCAGGGATAACACTGCTATGCGGAAACATCTGCACACTCACGGTCCTAGAGTCCACGTATGTGCAGAATGTGGCAAAGCTTTTGTCGAGAACTCAAAACTAAAACGACATCAACTGGTACATACTGGAGAGAAGCCCTTTCAGTGCACGTTTGAAGGCTGCGGAAAACGCTTCTCCCTGGATTTCAATTTGCGTACACATGTGCGAATCCATACCGGAGACAGGCCCTACGTGTGCCCCTTTGATGCTTGTAATAAGAAGTTCGCTCAGTCAACTAACCTGAAATCTCATATCCTAACACACGCAAAGAACAAAAACAGCCAGTAAAAAGAGCAGACCCTTCTCAAACTTGTGAAGTGTCTTCTAGGAGTGTGATTGCAAATAAATATGCCTCTCTTGTGTATTGCTTCTAAGAAATAATTTTTTTAATGATTCCTACACATCTAAGGGTCATGTTTTGATAGAGTAGTAAAAGTAAAATTTAAAAAAAAAAGTATTCCTTTATATAAGATAACATTGTTAAGATGCTATATCTTGTTCTGTAATGCTATTTTAAATACATGGTGTTTTTGTAAAGTTTGGTCCCAACAGGAGGATAATTTATGAACCTCACATCAAAAGACCATTCTTTATACAACTGTTCTAAAAATGGGACTTATTTTCAGGGTTTTTTAAATATGAAGTTCATGTATTGCCTACAAATTTTTAAAGTTCTGAATTTTCCAGATGTTCATATTTATACTTTTAGGAATGTGTTTGGTAATTCTTTGTATGTTTTTTCTGAAGGTTGATAATTTTGCTTGCAACAGATTTTCTTTAAAAGAATGAACAATTACATATGTAAAGTATTTTCCTGTTTAAAAAAAAGTTATATAGGTTTTGTTTGCTATCTTAATTTTGATTGTATTCTTTGATATAAACACATTTTTCTAACTTACCTGTATTGATTTCCATTGTATTCAATATTAGGTGTGATTTAATAGTATTAGTCAGTTTAAATCTATTTTAGTCATTTTATTTCCCCAAAATACTGTCGGGTGCTGTTGTCTAGTATAATTTCTCTGCATGTTCAGTTAGTGGTGCTCAGTTGTAGAATATATTGTGTATATATTGACTTTTTAACACTTGATGTGTATATCTTCTGTAATAGAAAAAGCAAAAATAAAATACCTCTTCTGAAGAAGGAAAAAAAAAACTTGCCTATATGAATACCATAGCTAGAAAATAGAGAAAATGGGGAGGGAGCTACTGACATCTGGTGGGTAGAGGCTAGGGATGCTGCTAAACATCCTATAGTGCACAAGATAGTTCCCCACATCACAGAATTATGTGTCCTAAAATGCCACTAGTGCCACCGTCAAAAAACTCTGCTCTAGAAAAAGTAAAAGTTATAACAAAGATTCCTTCAGTATACTTAAAAACAAATCGTTAATGGACAAGAGGTTGTTTAAATAAAGGAAATGTTTATTGCCACTTAGCCATCATGGGCAAATCTGGAATCTAGAGGGGTGATGTTCTACCAGCTGCCTCCCTGACAAGAGAAAAGCTGCCCAGAGAGTCAGGAAAGCAGTGCTGCTCTGTGCCCCCTCTGACTGTTTGGATGGGAAAACAATAGGGTCTGTGCTATGGTTGTGTGGTGGTATTATCCTGATAAGGGAGAAATGGTGAGAGTGCAACTCTCCTCATGGCATTCTTCTCGTGAACTGCCATCCTGAAGAGTTGGGGGAAAGCTGAATTTAACACATGGTAACAATGGCAAATCTAATCAATGTTGGGGTTGGATTATTTTGTGAAATTGTATTGGGACTAGCAGTTGGGGGGGGGCAGTTTATAGCTGTATCCCTAAATTAGTTTCACTAGAGTAAATTCCAGTGGGCAAAAAAAAAGTTTTTGCTTTATTTTTGTTTTTTAAATGAAGCTATGAAAGCAATATAAGAAAACACCAGGTGAGTATCTTCTGTAATCTTGAACTGGGAAAGGTTTAATGCAAAGGAGCAATTTGACCACACCAAAATGTAAAATGTCTACATAGGCAAAACTATAAACCAAGCCAAAAAACAAACTGGAAGAAAAATTGTAATACGTCTTACAAAGGACCAAATTCGGGGGCACCTGGGTGGTTTTTCGGATAAGCATCTGCCTTCAGCTCAGGTCATGATCCCAGGGTCCTAGGATTGAGTCCCGCATCAGGCTCCCTGCTCAGCGAGGAGCCTACTTCTCCCTCTCCCCACTCTTGCTCTCTCACTCTCTCTCTCTCTCTCTCTCTCTCTCTCTCTCAGATAAATAAATCTTTTAAGGGGTGCCTGGGTGGCTCAGTCGGTTAAGCGGCTGCCTTCGGCTCAGGTCATGATCCTGGGGTCCTGGGATCGAGCCCCACGTCTGGCTCCCTGCTCAGCGGAGAGCCTGCTTCTCCCTCTCCTTCTGCCTACTTGTGCTCTCTCTCTATTTCTCTGTCAAATAAATAAAATCTTTAAAAAAAAAAAAAAGGACCAAATTCTTCAATATATACATTCAATAATAATATATACAAATTAGTAAAAAAATGTGAACAGGCGATGGATAGAAATAGTTCTCAACAGAAATACAAATGGTCTTAATAAACATGGAAAATGTACAAGCTTATACTTAAACAAATCACAACAGATTTTACTTTTAACCTAGCAGATGGCAAAATCTAACACTACATAGCATCCAGTGTTATTTACAGGGTAGGGAAACCTATGCCAATTATGAGAACATTAATGCAGACTCCCTGGAAGTCCATTGTTTTTTAAGATTTTATTTATTTGAGAGAGAGAGATAGCAAGAGAGAGCATGAGCAGGGAGGAGAGGGAGAAGCAAGCTCCCCACTGAGCAGGGAGCCCAATGCTGGGCTGGGAATGGGACTCATTCCCAGGACCCTGGGATCAGGACCTGTGCCGAAGGCACTCAACTGACTGAGCCACCCAGGCGCCCCTGGAGGTCAATTTTAATGCACATTTTTTTGACCCAACAATTCCATTTCTATGTAACGTTCCATACCTTCATAGATGCATACTTAATTAGATAACAATATGAACAAAGCTGTTTGTTGCAGCATTGTATGAACAAGTTAAAACAACCTAAGTGATCATTAGTAGGGAACCTTATAAATAAGTCAATATGTTTTTTAACATGGATTACTCTGTAATGGACATAAGAACTGGGCATTCTGATAAATTAGTAAAGTAATGGATATAAGAAAATAAAGTGGATATAAGAAATGGGATAGATATGAATATGCAAATGAGGGGAAAGTCCAAAGTACATACATGAGGACAGTGAAATTCCCATCACCTCCACTCATACCCTTTTAGCCAAAGCAGGCATATGGCCATACTCAGCTTCCTGTGAGTATAGGAAATGACTTTGGGTTACATTTCTGTTGCTATAAAACATTGGTTCTCAACCACTGGTGTTGCTACCCTCCTGGAGATGTTTGGAATGTGTGGGGCGTAGGGAGTATTCTTTGGTTGCCTCAGTGAGGGGAGACTACTAATGGCATTTGGTGGATGAGAGCCAGAAATGCTAAATATCCTATAATGCAAGGGACAGACTTGTACAACTAAGAATTGCAAGGTTCAGAGTGCTAGTAGAACCCCCACCTTGCCCCATGAGAAAAATTAGTAGAAGAAGGAAAGGCTAGGTATGGAAGAAAAGGGTATCTAGTGATGTGCTAGTGATTGTTTAAGCCCTGGCTCTGGAAGGGAGAATGAGGAGCTCTCCATATGTAGCATTTGCTGGTTTCTGTGGTATAATTTCTCCTGCCTTGGCCAATTTCAGGGTGCCAACCCAAAGTCCCTGAAGGAGGAATTAGAAAGAGATGTACACAGTCAGCTGTGGCAAGCTGGTAGGACCGGCCTCCAGCACACCACTGAGTTCACTTTAACCTTCTCTGTATTTAAGAAAAAAAAAAAAGAAAAAGAAAGAAAATCTCTGTATATATGATAGAGATGGTTATAGTCTGTGACATGGTGTAAGATACTGTGTTTGGTCCATCGATATTACTCTCCATAATAGTTTAATTCTTAAAACACTCTTTTTCCAAGTACCATTTGAATTTCCATGAACCAGCTCAGCAAGAATGTTTTTTTTATTTCATCTTAACTTTTATTTGAATAGCTTTGAAATTTTTTTCAAAGATCACAAGTATGCTTCAGTTAATGTATACATTTTCTGAAAAGAAGATGAAGCAAGTAGAAGATATTAATTCTCTTTGTTTTATATATATATTAGAATATATAGATTCTACTAATGTTAAACCATATTAGTATATGGCCTTCTTTATGTGGTATTAACATGCTCATTTTACATTTCAGAATCTGAAATGGAAGAGGCCTCTAACTGAACATTTTTCCTTGGTACTAAAGTAGTTTTATCTGCTTCACAGCTTCTGGTTACTTCATTAATTTATCAGAATGCCCAGGTATTCTGAAGTCCAGATACCTAGATCATTCCTGCCCCTGGTTGAGCTTACTCCTTTTTTTTTCTCTTTTCAGGTATCTGGCATAATTTTGTCCTTGCGCTCCTTGGTATTTTAGCTCTTGTGCTCCTCCCTGTAATTCTCTTGCCATTTTACTACACTGGAGTCGGGGTGCTTATCACTGAAGTTGCTGAGGTAAATAATGAGGATTACGTGGGGCATTCGTTTACCAGATTTTGTGGTGTAGCACTTAGCATTTTATGTTAGGAATGTATATTCAAGTTTTCATATGCAGAATGTTCAGTTTCTCCTGAAGAAATTACTATAATCCTTTTAAGTTGAACAAAAAGTTTTTTGAAACCCATTGGCTTTTTAAAAATACTTAAAATTGTTTCTGTTCTGAGTTACAAAGATAGTGTCAAGATTTTCTACCTGTACTTTGTTGATAAAATGCATCATTTAACTTTACTGTTTATTTTTATAACTGTGCTTTTGAGTCAGATGTCCTTATTCCTAAGTAAGAAGATTGAAACCTAGACTAGCCAGCCAGAACATTTCATAGGAGCTTAAGTTACTTTCTTCAACTCTTTATTTCACTGCCTTAGACAGTAATTACTACAATGGCATCAAGTCTTCTATTCAGACCTTCGGAAGAGGAAAATTACCTTAGTGAGCAACTGGCTCACGTATTCATTGTGCTGATGGTATTGTCTGCATATTTGGGACTGTGTTTAGATAAGGACTTGTCTTACAGTTTTATCCACTGAGGGTATACAAGATAATGAAGACATCTGATGACCACTTTCACAAAAAATTTTAATCAGCAGTCTGGGAAAAACTTTATCATTTTAATCTTGATAGTTGGCAAGTAGGTTTTTTTTCAGTTATGAAAAATTACGAATCTTGGAAAAGTAACTGTAATTGTTAGGTATTATTTTATTAATGTTCTAGGACTCTACATCTTGGATTCAAAGCTGGCTTATTTTCTGCATTAGTTAAAATATTCTACCTAATCAACTCAGTGTCTTTATTATTTGGTCAGATTAATCATAGCTTGTCTTCATACGTTATCTGATTTGGTTGTACCCTCTTCCCAAGGACTCACCAGCCATTGGACCCAGAGGCCTTTTTGTGGGAGACCTTGTCACCCATCTACAGGATTGCCCTGTTACTAATGTACAAGATTGGAATGAATGTCTAGATACCATCGCCTATGAGCCCCAAATTGGTTACTGTATTAGTGCATCAACTTTACAGCAGTTAAGCTTCCCAGTTAGAGGTGTGTATATTTCTTCAGTATAATATAATGCTTTAAGCAGCAGTACTTGCCATTCACCAATTCTTAGACCATGTCTATAGATGTATTTTGTTCTAATTTCTTTAAAGCAAATCAGTAAAGTAATAATAGGCCCAAACTAGGAAACATTCTTCTTGGTAAGTTGGGTACTAATATTTATATATTGTTGTTGAATTTCTAACTAATTTCATAATATTATATTTGAGTTTTAGGACTCTAGTATCTAATTCTTCACTTAGAAGAACTTGTGTTAAGGCAGCATTCAAGCTCAACCATAACCAATTAACTATATTCCAGTAATTAAATACCCCCGTGCTGTATGGGTGGTGTCCTATCCAAAGCTATTTGGGGTAGAGTTATTTTATGTAGGCATCTAGAGTAAGTCATTTTGGCATCCAAAAATACACTTTGAAGTCAGATCTTTTGTTCTGTGTAGCAAGTGACAAGGTGAAGCAAGTTTATTCTCAGAAGCTGTCAAATTTATTTTGAGTTCTTTCAACTCTGAAAAATCAGCCTCCCAAGTCTTTATACAAAATCATGGGATCCAGATTATTGTCAGTGTTGAAAAACACAAATTATATTCACAGACTATCTCTTTAAGTCAAGAAATGCCCTGGATGCTTGTCCACATCTACTTGGGGTTAGGAAATATGATAAATAATCAAGAAAAACTTCACTTAAGTACTATGTGCAAGAATGGCAGAGGAGTAAGAACTGATTTTTAATTTTTTTTTCAAATGTAATCTTCCATTTATAATACATTTTTAAGAGCTTTTATTATTGTACAAAGTTTTCAAACATACATAAAAGTCAAGAAAGTAGTATGGGGGTGCCTGGCTGGCTCAATCGAAGGAGCATGCAACTCTTGATCTTGGTCAGGGTTATGAGTTCGAGCCCCACGTTGGGTGTAGAGATTACTTAAATAAATAAAACTTAAAAAAAAAAAAAAGAAAGTAGTATAAATGAAATTCCCTGCATCCTTTTCCCAGCTTCAGTAATTATCAGCATTTTGCCAGCTTTTTTACCTAATCAGCCCACTTTTGAGGGGAGTATTTTAAAGCACATCCCAGGCATTGTATCATTTCATCCATGAACTTTAGCATGTCTTTAATATATGATGACTTTTTAAACATGACCATAGTACTGTTATTCACACCTAAGAAAATTAACACCAATTCCTAATATCTAGTTGGTATTCACTTTTTCCTAATTGTTTTTTTCATAGTTGGTTTAAGTTGGATGGTACCTTTTAGTGTCTTTGAACTTGGAACAATTCCGCCTTTCGGAGGGGGGATATCATTTAAGAAACAGTCATTTGTTTTGTCGAATTGCCCATATTCTGGATTTGTCTGGCTCTGTGTTATCCTTATGATGTTGTTAACATGTTCATTTATCCCTCAGATTTCCTATAAATGGTCATTAGGTTTAGCGGCTTGCTTAAATTCCGGATCCATTTTTTGAGGGGATGAAAATATTTCATAGTTGTTGCTCACTACTTCCTATTGCATCATATCAGGAGGCACATAGTGTTACACCCTGTGGTGATGTTAACATTGTTCAGTGGGCTAACCTGATTCTTTAAGGTTGAAATATTTATCAATTTTTCTTGTTCTCAAGAACCACTTACCATCTTCCCAAACATTTCAGATGACACAAGGTTGGTATATGACCTATAATGCATTCTTCTCTGAGAAAAATAACACATTATCTCATACTTAAGTCCTTTATCATTTTCCTCCAATTTCTCTAAATTTGGTATAATTTCTATTGAATTACAAAAGCCAAACTGACACAGTGATCAAATAAAGTTCTTTCTAGTAGAATTGTTTTATTTAGGATATCTGCATTTCAGATGTTTAAGGTTTTGTCCTTTTCCTGTCATACAGAATGGAAATGAAAATTTTCACTGAAATACTCTGAAACTCTTTTTAACTTTTTGAGTATTTCACTTTTATGAGTCATATGCTGTATTTTGGAGGTATTTGTGTAAAAACCTAAAACAGGTATTATTCTTTCCACACTAATAAAAAAAAAATCAGTCCCAAAATAATTCTTCAATATCTATTTAATCTCCTTAGGAGTGACTGTATTAGGATACATGTTTATTCTACATGATGACTGTGTCTGATAAACCTGTACCTCTATTTAACCATTTTAAAATGGAGTACATATGGGCACCTGGGTGGCTCAGTCGTTAAGCGGCTGCCTTCGGCTCAGGTCATGATCCCAGATCAAGTCCCACATCAGGCTCCCTGCTCAGCAGGAAGCCTGCTTCTCCCTCTCCCACTCCCCCTGCTTGTGTTCCTGCTCTCGCTGTCTCTGTCTCTGTCAAATAAATAAGTAAAATCTTTAAAAAAATAAAATAAAAAAATAAAATGGAGTACATATATTTAGCCAACTTACAGGAATCTTAATGACTATAAATGTAACTTTGAATAAATACCAGATTAATTTTAATGGCAGACTTGACCACTGGGGCTATGGACTTTTTTTTTTTTTTTAAGATTTTATTTATTTGACAGAGAGAGACACAGCGAGAGAGGGAACGCAAGCAGGGAGAGTGGGAAAGGGAGAAGCCGGCTTCCCGCAGAGCAGAGAGCCCAATATGGGGCTCGATCCCAGGACCCTGGGATCATGACCTGAGCCGAAGGCAGATGTTTAACGACTGAGCCACCCAGGCGCCCCGGCTGTGGACATTTTTAAGAAAGCTATGCATTAATAGTATTTTACATGTATCTAGGTACGTTTTTTTTATCCTTCATTATAAACATTGGGGAAACATACAGCTAAATACAGTAATACAAAGTGGCCAATAATCCAAAAGTGATTTGCGTTCATTTTGGAGTGGAATTTAGTATACATAATTAAAATTCTAGGAAATTATACCACTGCAGAACAATAAAGCCACCTTGGAAAGATCTGACCCCGGATGTGCATATAAGCTGTCCCAACCAATCATATCTGGCCACTTATCTCTCATGGGTATATTATTAAATTTTTTTAAATATAATTAAGCAGACTGGATGGTCTTCTTAAAATATTAACAGATAGATTTCTGTCAAATTAGAAAAATATGGTTAATCCACCTTATGAAATTGTTTAGACCTACTTTTTCTTCTGTTAATCCTTTCCTTTTTTTCTTTCCTGAAAGCATTGTCTTGCGTAAGAAAGACTATACTCAACAAGTCCACCATTTGAACTACATTTTCAGGAGCATGAGATTGAAAACTAAAGGCAACTGCTCCCTAAAATGAAGCTTTGAGCTCAGATTCAGACATCCGCCTTGAACAGCCTATATTCCTTTTCAGAGGAGGCAAGGGTACATCCCTGTAACTGCCTGGGAATGAGAATATTGTCCTGTCCTACATATCTTTAACTCAAGTGAGAAAAGACCTTTCCCCACCTGGTTTAAGATAATAAAAGGAACATTTCAGGAAGCCTTTCCATATATATTGAGTACCCAGATTGTTTTTATGCCTAAATCTTCTTTAATGTTTGGAGTAAAGTATCTGTTTTTCCATTGTCAATGTCAAGTTATGATCCAAAGTTTTTTTGCTATCCTAAAGTGAAGAGAGAATGTGTGTGTGTGTGTTTATAATTTTTTAGCTACTGGTTACTAGGTGATGCTGGTATAAATTCTGCTGTGGAACTAAGAATAAATAATTAGGCTTGTCTCCCTGTGTTGGAGCTCTAACTACATTTATATATTTAATAAACTAGAGTAAGAAAATTGTTCAGTTCATTTTAGTAATATAGAAAGTAGTGGGGACTATGAACTATAGATTGAAAAAGTCTCTTCTTTCCAGCCTTATTCTAAAATTAACCTCTGGTGGGGTACCTCGCTGGCTCAGCCAGTAGAGCCTGCGACTCTTGATCTCAGGGTTGTTAAGTTCGAGCCCCGCATTAGGTGTAGAGAGTACTTTAAAAAAAAATTTTTTTAATATAATAAATCTCTGGTCTAGACTATTCTTTGGAGGCTGGACTATTTCTACAGCTTTGTTTTGAGGCCCATCTTAGGGTATATTCAGAATATGCAGGTTGTCCCTATAGTAGAATTCTAAAACTGATCTGTTCTTGAATTACCTAATTGTCTCCCAGACTGAGGAGATTTAAGGGACAATTCTAATCTTCCAGAGTTAAATTCAACCTATGAATGCCTCGGGGGGGCCTCTCAATGCAGTCTTGAGCGCTCTTTGTAAAGTAGAATTAGATTGGCCTCTCATGCTTAATAAAAGTATGGACACTAGTGTGAAAATTGTCTGTGCCATCCCCATCTTATAGGTTAAGAATTGAGTTAACAGAAATTGGCTTAGCAACTTGTCCTTAAATGTGACCCAGTAGAAAAGATTCTAATACAACTTTTTTTTAACAGATAAACAGAGAAATACCAAATTTACTTCTCAAATCACAACAAAATATTTAACTCTTTATTGGAAAATTCTGTTTGTCAAGAGGTATTTAAACTTGTCAGGATGGTCACAGCCATGGATTTATGTTTGGGTTATAGTAATCAGCATAGGAAGAGGCCATAACGTAGAGGTTACAAATTGGTGGTAGCCCAGAGGCCAAATCCAACCTCGGCAGATGTATTTAGTTTGGCTTGCATGGTATTTTTTTAAATATTAATTAGATGCCAATAACAAGAGGTTTCATATGAAAGTACAGATTTCAGATTTCTTTTGGAATAAAATAGATGATCTGTGGAATCAGGCCCCCAAGTTGAGTAGCCTCACTGCTCACCCATTAAAGCAGGATATATATTTTCTAATTCATCATAGTCCCAACACTTCCTATTTTTGCCAAAACTATCCACTTCATTTATTTGCTTCCTGGTTGGCCCCTTTAAGCATTTGTGTTACCAGACATGCTGTATCAAAAGTGATATCAAATTACTGGGCGCCTGGGTGGCTCAGTTGGTTAAGCGACTGCCTTTGGCTCAGGTCATGATCCTGGAGTCCCTGGATCGAGTCCCGCATCGGGCTCCCTGCTCGGCAGGGAGTCTGCTTCTCCCTCTGACCCTCCCCCCTCTCATGTGCTCTCTCTCTCATTCTCTCTGTCAAATAAATAAATAAAATCTTTAAAAAAAAAAAGTGATATCAAATTACTGACTTTCAATTCTGTATTGTATACATTCCTCTAAGAAAAGTTAGTGATCAAACATCAGATGTAAATTTTCTAAATAATTACTAATACAAAGGCAAATGGCATAGAACATCATTTATGTATTCAGTGTATATTGAGTTATGCACCTTATGTAAGATTGAGAAACTTTTTTCTCAAGGAGCTCAATCTAGTCAAAGATATAGACCATGTGATAGGGATTAAGGAGTGTACTTGTGATGAGCACTGGGTGATGTATGGAAGTGTTGAATTCCTATATTATATACCTGAAACTAGTATTACACTGTATGCTAACCAATTGGAATTTAAATAAAAACTTTTTTAAAAAAGAAGCAGACCATGCCCATATTATTATGGTACAAGGTTAACTGTACCATAATGACAGGAATTGGTGGGAGTTATGGGAGTTGGTGGCAGTCAGTCTTGACTGAGAAGATGAGGGCAAGTTTCATAATAGCAGCCCTTCAGTTGGGCCTCAGCAGTAAGTTTAATTTCAGGAGGCCAAAATAGAAATGAACCTTGGTACCATAGACTAGAAGGTGGTCAGGGAACTGCTAGTAACTTGATTCAGCAAGATAATAGTATGAGATAAGGTGATAAAAGAACAGAAGTCTCTCTAGTCTCTCTATTTTAGTCTGTGGAATTTAGACATTATTTGGGAGCAGTGCAATCTTTGGAAGTTTTGAATTAGAGGAGTTAACATTCTCGTAGTTCTACATTGGAAGGTTAATCTGAAGCATTCAGTATGTAAGAAAGGCTTGCATATGGTAGCTAGCTGGTGAGCAAACAAGACAACTAGGATTCTTCAAATGGGTCAGATGAGAGGAAATAGAATCTACATTCGAATGGGAATATATAGGTGGAAAAATAATAAGGAGGTTAAAATTGGTGGGACTTGGCAACTGATCAGAGAACACTGAAATTGTAGCCTGTATTGGTAAACAATAAAAAATCCTAAACAACTTTTTGCCTTATACTTTATAATTAGGGCTGATGAATGATTACAGGCACAGGTTTGTCTGTGCCATTAGATATTCACAGTTTGCTTTCATATTTCAGAGACGACTCATTATCCAAAATTTAAATACGTATTCAATTATGCTAAGAAAACAAAACTACCCACACAGCCAAGCAATGCAGAGGAGAAACTGATTTATCAGCCAGTTTGTTTCATCTGTTTTGTTCTTCGTTTTATGTTGGCCAAGGAGAGATAGTGACAGTCTAACCAATACAAGATGTCTTCCTCAAATAACCTAGTTTTTCTTTTTTTTTTTTTTTAAAGTAGGCTCCCCACTGGGCGTGGAGCCCAATGCAGGGCTTGAACTCAAGACCCTGAGATCAAGACCTGCGCTGAAATCAAGAGTCAGAAATTTAATGGACTAAGTCACCCAGGCACCCCTCAAATAACCTAGTTTAAAAAAAACTGTTTTGGGGTGCCTGGCTGGCTCAGTCAGTAGAGCATCTGACTCTTGATCTCAGGGTCGGGAGTTCAAGCCAACTGTTGGGTGTAGAGATCACTAAAAAAAAAAACTTTAAAAACAAACAACAACTGATGGCAAAAATATAAAATCCTTATAAAATCACATTGCATATCTACTAACATTTTCATGCCAGTGTTCCTGAAGACACTCTTGTAATAGAAAAGCTTTTTGTGGTACTAGAAAAATGTACTTTTTTTTTTTTTTTTTGTAATTCTCTGGTAACTTTGCTCTTGAGTCTATCTTCCTCAGCACATCTGAGTATGGTAGTGTGAATATAAGATTCTAAGTTTAATTGGTCCCTGCTACACATCGATTTATGCTTTACAGGTTTGATATGCTGAATGCAGGAAACCTTCCAAAATAAATACATGCAAATAATTTTTTATCCCATCTGTATCAGTGACTTAGTTTTCTTATTCTGCCCTAGATACAAGTGAGGCAGTCTACCAAAGAACTTTTAAAAATAAATGAATAATGGGAATAGATAGTTGCCCTGTTTCCATTGTCTTCCAAAAATGGTAACTGGATTACTGGTAGGCTGGCAAATATTGCACATCTCTGGGGTCAAATTGGGCTGCCCTGATTTTATGAGGAAAGCCCCAAGGTAAGCATGGAGGTAAGATAGATATTTGATATAATAGTGATTTTAGGGATGAGAGTCTCTTAGGCATCCTCTCGCCCACTCTGCTAACACTAGAACGCAGGAACTCGGTCGTAATCCTGGATCAGTAGCATTAAAGCCACTAATAGTGGCTCATTAAATATTTGTGCTTGACCTGCTGGAGTCATTGCAAAACCTACTGAGACCCTGGAACTCCAGGTTTATTTGTAGGTAAGTTTATGTGAAGACAGGTAACCGAGGGGAAGTACTGCTTCTTGATTCCAAACTGGACACATCTCTTTTTGTAATATCATGTCCTTTTTTGTACCATAAAATCACTGCAGCAAGTAGCCTGTCAAATTGAACTCTGAATCATATAGTTGTTTCCAAATTTGTGTGCATTTTACTTACTCTTTTTGTCTTTTTTTTTTTGTGGTTCTTTTTTTTTATTATGTTAATCACCACACATTACATCATTAGTTTTTGATGTAGTGTTCCATGATTCCTTGTTTGCATATAACACCCAGTGCTCCATTCAACACGTGCCCTCTTTAATACCCATCACTAGGCTAACCCATCCCCCCAGCCCCCTCCTTCTTGAAAGCAAAATTTTTATTACAAATGTACTTCTGTATAACAGATTTTAATAAATTATTTCTCTTTAGCATACAAACGGCTAGATGGTTCGACCGAATGCTGTAATAATCACAGCCTCACGGATGTGTGCTTTTCCTACAGAAATAACTTTAATAAGCGTTTGGTGAGTTGTCCCTGAAGCAGTCTTGCTTGTCTGATATAATTTTTACAAAATAATCATATAGAACTAAAATGGAGTCTATGAAAATTTTACCTTTTGCTTTGTGTCATTTTATTAAAATTTCCGCACTTCACTTGTCACGTTTCATCTGAGAATCTTTAACAATTTATAGCTGTAATATCTTATTTGGCCGAAGTGGAATACTTGAATCTAATTTATAGTAGGTGCACATAAATGGCATTTCTTCTATATGAATTTTGTTCCTTTTATGCTCTGTGACATAAAAGATATTAAAGAGCTGTAACTTTCTGGTTTTCTTGTTAGTAAATTATTTTTAGTATTGACTAATTAATACTTTGTTCATAGCACACGTGTTTACCTGCCCGGAAAGCAGTTGAAGCCACACAAGTTTGTAGAACCAATAAAGATTGTAAAAAAAGTTCAAGTTTCTGTATAATACCTTCTTTGGAAACTCATACTCGCTTAATAAAAGTGAAACATCCACCTCAAATTGATATGTTGTATGTAGGCCATCCACTGCACCTTCACTACACAGGTGAGTATTTATTGTGGTCGACCCTCAGAAAATCATTAAGATGCCATATATTCTCCATGATAGAAACTCAGTACAAATCCTGTGTTAATTTTATTTATTATAAATGTGACCACTTTTCAAAGTCTTATTAACTTGTTGTTAAGTGTTGAGTGAAATTTACCATTAGGAAAATAATCTGAATTTATGAAGCGAGATGGAGCTGAATCCCATGTCTGCCTATGGAGAGTGATGTATTTTCTTTTCACCACCATTTATGCCCAAGTCACATAGATGATTTCTCAGATAGTCTCTGAGAGTTTACTAAATCTATCCAAGCTCCCAAAACAGTGGCAAGAGCAACATACCCCAGAGAATGCCAAGATCATCATGATAAGACTATAATTTGTGTATAACACATGAATTTTATATGAATATAATTTTCAAAACTGGGCCAGCATAATTGTTTTAACAGTGGCTACATGATTGGACTAAATAGCTTCTCCATATGGCTGAAGATCGTATGGTCCAACTCATTTTGTAGAACAAGAATTTTTTAAGTTCCTTTTTTTATAACAGTTGTATTGAAATATAATTCACATACCATATATTTGACCCTTTTAAAGTATACAACTGAAGAGTTTTTAATATATTCAGAGTTGTGCCACCATCACCAAATCTAGTTCTAGAATATTTTCATCACCCCAAAAAGAAACCCCATATCCATTAAGCAGTCAGTTCTTATTTCCCCCAACCCCCCCCATCTCTTGGCAATCACTAATCTACTTTCTCTTTCTATAAGTTTGCCTGTTCTGCACATTTCATATAAGTAGAATATTTTGTGACTGACTTCTTTCACTTAGCGTAATGTCTTTAAGGTTCATCCGTGTTGTAGCATGTGTCAGTATGTCCTTCCTTTTTAGGGCCAAATATTCCATTCTATGAACATATCACATTCTCTTTATTCACTCATCAGTTGGTGAACATGACATGTAGGGTTTTTTTGTTTTTTGGGGGGTTTTTTTTGTTTTTTTTTTTTAACATGTAGGTTTTATGTTACTCTTTAAAAGGCTCTCCCATTGCTTTATAGTCATATCCTGAGATACAACCTGGGTCATTCTTCTTATTTATTAATAGTTACAGTGAATGTAATTTTAAGGTTATATCTCTTTGAAGGATAAGGACTCTTGATAAATTCTGGCATAGTTTTTAAGTCAGTCTCTGTATTTAGTAGTCATACTTGGTATATAGTCAGTTTTATCTTATTCTCACCTCCAAATGTAAGTACACACTGGGACATGAATTTCTGTATTCCACTATATTTATTAGGTGTTCTAGAATAATTGTTTTTATATGTGGGGCATATAGGCTGCCTGCATATGTTTGGGAAGGGCTTTCTCAACCAATTTAATAGGCTAGCCTAATTTTTGACCATATGGAAAAATTTTTATAATACTGTTGCTTATCTGTATGAACAATATTCATTATTCCTTGTTTTTCTTTTTTAGTGAGCATCACCAGTTTTATCCCACGTTTCAACTTTCTAAGCATAGATCTGCCTGTGGTTGTGGAGACATTTGTCAAGTATCCTTTCTGGTGTGAAGAATGTTTTTAAAAGTGTTACTTGGAACATGATCAGGCTTACCTTGAGTAGAGCATGCATAGACCTTACAAGTACCGATTGATTGCTAGCAATTAAAAAGGAGACTTTAAAGTTGAAAAAGATCAGATTGGGTACCTAGGAGAGAAGAAGTCATGGGAGAGAGATGGGTGGGGGAAGGAGAAAAGTTAAGATATAGAAGGAAGGGAACCCAGACTATAAATTGAGAGTTGAATTTACAGATCTAAGACCCTTTAGTAAGTTTATAAAGAATGAAAGCTTCAGTTACTACCACGGTGATGAATTCTGCCCCTTCTGAGCCTGTTAGCTCTGACTAAGTGGAGGAATGCGTAAGGGAGATCGAACTGGTTTCCACTATTAAAATAGCAGTTCAGAGGACAAAATCTTGTGTTCTTTAGCATATTCAGTTTGAATGTAAAACTTGGTTTTTTAAAATTCATCATCATGAAGAATCTGAACAAACCGAACAATTTGTAAGGGTTATTTTTGTCACTTTTTTTTTTTACTTTCTAGATTTTAAGTTTATTTCTAAGCATGGATCTTTTTTGTTTTTTTAATTCCAGTGTAGTTAACATTACAGTGTTATATTAGTTTCAGGTGCACAACACATATTTTTGTCACTTTCAAATAATTTTCATTTCCTTCCTCAATAATTTACAAAAAAATGAAAGGGAAAACAAATGAGCAGCTAATGAAAAATATGTACAACCAAGATTGTACCTTGTAGATTACACCTTTGTCTCAGAGATTTATGATAGACATAAGCTTATAGATGATAATAAAATAGAGTGATGTTATAGTTATATTTATGCTATAACCTTATAGATAATAGTAAAATAGAGTTGAAGCGGCCAAAATCTTTATGTTTCCTAAGATAAGTTAATACTTTGTAAGAGTCAAAAAGTGATTTTCCCTTATTTCTAATTGCTTCCACATTCCTTTCCCTCCTTGTGTCATTAGAGGATTACAAAGACTCTGTCTTTCTCTGAGTTTGTTATGGATTGCCTTAGTTTACAAATGGTTGCCCTTTATTTTTCTAGTCAAGGTTTTTGAGCTTTGAAATAATATAAATAATTTGTTTGAAATAGTAGAGATCTGGGGTGCCTAGGTGGCTCAGTCAGTTGAGCGGCCAGCTCTTGGTTTTGGCTCAGGTCATGGTCTCAGGGTTGTGGGATCAAGCCCCTCATGGGGCACCTTGCTCAGCAGGAAGTCTGCTTCAGGATTCTTTCTCTCTCCCCCTCTGCCCCTCCCCCCTGCTTCACCCATGCACCCTCACTCACTCTCTCTAAAATAAATAAATCTTTTTAAAAACAAATACCAGGATCTAAGAAGGAATATCCTATACTGGTGGGCAGAAATTTAAAGAAAGGAGGGAAGTCAACTATGATCTCAAATGCAGTCCTAGTAAAATATCTTCTTCTGACTATTAGATATGTTTTCGACTCAGACTTCACAGTCGGCTCCTTAACTCATTTTAACCAGGTACCTGATTTCCCTCTCAGGAGCTCTAGCTATTGTTAATGCAGTGCCCTGCTTTGCTTTGGATGGTCAGTGGATTTTAAACTCTTTCCTAGATGCTACCCTTACCTCAGTGATTGGAGACAATGATATCAAAGATCTGATAGGATTTTTCATCTTGCTCGGTGGTAGTGTACTTTTGGCTGCCAACGTGACCCTGGGACTCTGGATGGTTACAGCACGGTAATATTTGCACTCATCTTGCAGAATGATACTTCATATGAAATAGAAAGCATTTCCTTAAAATTACATTTTAACCAACGACTTTAAGCTCCTCCTGTATCAGAATATCCAAACTCTGGGATGGGGGATAAACAGAAGAAATGAAAGGCATAGTCTCTGACTACATCCAACTTTTAAAGACTGAACTTAACAAACTTCAGATGCTTGTGGAACAATTTCTAAACAAGTGAAAATTCATGTTAAACCATTTTGTGTGACTACATATCATATTGCAGTAGTGTAAAGGAGAACAGAATTGGGTGGAATTAATCGGGGAAAACTTTTTGAAAAAGCATCATTAATCCAGATTTGAAGAAGACCAGACTCTGGCCAAGTGGAAGGGTGAGCATTTTCTTGGCCTATATCTCTTGTCCTTTTTCTTAGTTTGAAAAGTATTTTAAGATTTATTGGTATATTATTTTGTACTCTGACAACTGAGGTCTGATTACAATTAATAAAATTCTATGAAAGAATCTGCTGACATGAAAGGGAAAATCTTTGTCAAATGATACCAAATAGGTGAACAAAGTAGGAAGTAGGGCTTACAATGATAAATGCTTTGCCCCACAAAAGTTGCCTCTTTGATAATGTGTCCCCATATGCTCCTAAAGCAGCACTGTGTTCTGACATTCAGACTGAGCTACAAGAAGTATCTTCCACTTGCAGCATGTGAGTTGAGGAAGTTAAAGTTGAGCGTGAGAACTGAGCTTGGTCTTTTAACAGATCACGAGACAGATCTGCTGCAGTCCTGGTTACCATTCTCTACAGAGCTTTGAAGCTCGGAACCTTTCCAGGGTAGACGTTTTCTCTTATGCTGCTGGGGTTATCTGGGGCCTAGGTCCTGGGTTCCTGTCTTCAAGGAGCAACTACCTTAAGCTCTCAACCATACTCTGTTCTCACCAGCAGCTTCCATGTTTCTCTGTATTGAGTAATTAAACACCTAGTCCTTGTTTTCCATCTTTCTCCTAAGCTACCTCTGTGGGTCCACAGAAGACTTGGTAGTACAGTGAGAATGGCTACACATGAGTACAGATATGGATTTGCCAGAGCCTGGGAACTGACTCTTGAGCCCAAAAGAGCCCTGAGTAGTTCAAGGTCTTTTGGACTGGAGCTGGAGCCCTGGAAGATCCAGGAAGTCACCTCAGGCCACTGTGAACTCTTGGTCTTCTAAGTGTCTGAGCGTGCTGTTCTTTAATGAAAAATATGTGCTTCCCTCATACACTCAAGAACATTAACAACTGTGTACCCAACTTTTTCACTAAGTGAGGCATTCCATGGGGTTCACCTTTTTCTGATCATTGAGCCGCACTTCAGGCAATAAAGGTTTTTAATCATTTTTAAGAAACTCTTTAGACTGTATGCAAGTTTGCCTGTCTTCTTAAATAGAAATTATTTATTGAGTATAATGTTAAGATTTTATTAATGACTTGAGGTCATCAGTTAAACCATACAAGTTATTCGTTTATCCCAGAAAAAAGGTGGTGGTTCTATTCTTAGGTAGATAGTGATTCAGGATCAAAGTCTTAGCAGAGAGCTCAGACCTGTTTAGGTAGTAGAGCTTGGGGAATGCCATGAAATACTTGCATAATTAATTTGATTACATGAACTATGCAATTTACTAATGAATATGTCGTATATGTGCAGATCAGTTTTTTAAAACAGAAAAAAACTTAAATAGAGGAGCTCCTACCCATTAACTTCTTTTTCTGGGTGGAAAAAAAACAACAACTGCAACAACAACAACAACCAAACACCTCATTTTCTTGTAGCATTTGAACATCTTGGTCTCTTGCTTCATAGGGTCAGGCTTTGAGAACCACTCTTACTAGGATAATGAGCAGATCAGTCACATTTGTATAGAAATGGCCTCATCGTGTAAAAAAGGAAATGTTGTCTGTTGTCTCTTCAGCTTGATTGTGGGCACTTCTGGAGCAAGGACCATGCCATACTCATCTTTGCATCCCTGGCACAGTGCATGAGACATCATAAATACTTAATAAACATGGTTGAATGGATGATGAATACTGGTATTTATGGATTAGAAAAGCATGTTTCTATTTAAGTAAGCTATGAATAGTATTATTGAATATTTACTGTAAATATGTTAACAAAAAAATAACTTGGAAGGTCTTTGTGTCCCTAGTATGTTATCATCTTTATGAAAATAATCCATTTTGGTTCCTGTAGAGCAATTAGAAAAATGAATTACTTTGAGGATTTGAAGAAAATGTACTTTCTGTGTTGTCACGTTCAACAGTACAACTTTATTTTCAGTGTTCCTACTCTACGTTGTTTACATTTTCAGCAGTTTTTTTTAACTCACCTACAATATGTAAAGAATGTATATATTCTTTTCATCTCAGTTTGAAAAGACATGCGTTAAACTTGACCTTTTGATGATCGCTCTTATAAGGTCATTGTCTTCTATTCTAACAGCAAATTTTAAACAAGTACTTCATGGATACATGGCTTTCAGTCATCAGTTTGTCCTATGGTATTTATTGAATGTCCACATACTAATTGATGGTGCACAGGTATTTTTTTCTACAGATCTTTCGACTGTGCTGTAATTCATTCTTAGTATTCAAGTTGAAGATACCATAGTTGCTGGCATTTGATGTTTAGCAATAAAAGAATAAATGTGTACCAGCACTCTATCTTTTATCATATTTATGTGTTGTCTTTTTTTAAAAAAAACATTCTATCAAAAGTGTTCCCTTTACATACAGTATGATCTTTGTTGTTTTAAATTCTTGTTTCTAAAAGCAGCCTTCAGTTTTCACTCAAGCAGTCCTTATATGAAAGTTGTTGCCGGCCACAGAAGGAAGTCTTTTTTTTTTTTTTAAGATTGTATTTATTTATTTATTTGAGAGAGAGAGAAAGCAAGAGAGAGCACAAGCAGTGGGGAGAGGGAGAAGCAGACTCCCCACTAAGCAGGGAGCCTGACGTGGGGCTCAATCCTAAGACCCTGGGATCATGACCTGAGCCAAAGGCAGACACTTAACTGACTGAGCCACCCAGGTGCCCCAAAAGAAGTCTTTTTTAAATAAGATTCCTGAGCTCTTACTAGTGTTTTGGAAATGTCCTGTTTATGGATGAAGAAAGAGGACTATCACGTTTCCTTTCAATAGTGTCTGACAGAAGTCTTCTCTAAGTTAGTCTGTTTCTTAGGAATTCATGGAAAAGTATTTCAACTCTGACATTTGGTTCGTCTTGACCTTTTGCTCTAGCACTTCCTCCCTTGTCCACAGGACCAGCCTCAATCTCTCTCTCCCTCTCCTTTTCTCTCTCCCCCTCCCACTCTCTCTCTCTTTCCCTCTCTATGCCACCCCCCCCACACACACACACATAGGCACATAATCTCTTTCTAGATTACCTAAAATCCAGATAAAATAGGCTGGAAATTTAGCCCAAATCCTGATTGGCTAGCATCATTCCACGCCTCCTTTTTGCCTCTGATCCCATTCTACTACAGTTAAGAGCCACAAGACTAGATGACTGATTATCTAAACCACTTTTTTTTTAGCAGCTTGAGATAGAATTAAATACCATAAAATTCACCTGTTTAATGTGTACAATTCACTGTAAACTCTTTTTCTTTTAATGACTACTCAAACAATAGTATACATAGGCTTTAGTATAATCTAACTTTTTAAGCAAATGAGCATGTGATAAAAGACTGGGAAGAAAGAAAATGTTTCATTTATTTCACAGCTTTTAACTCTGAGGTGGTTTTCAGTACTGGAATAGAGTTGAATAACAAATCATTTTTAAGGTTAAGCATGTAGAGGGGTGCCTGGCTGGCTCAGTCAGTAGAGTATGCAGCTCTTGATCTTAGGGTTGTGAGTTCAAGTCCCATGTTGGGTGTAGAGATTACTTAAAGATAAAATCTTAAAAAAAACAAAAAAAGGTAAAACATGTGATGGCACCTTGGGTGGCTCAGTCGGTTAAGCATCTGACTCTTGATTTTGATTCAGGTCATGACTCAGGGTTGTGAGATTGAGCCCCGTGTTGGGCTCTGCACTGGGTGTGGAGCTTGCTTGAGTCTTTCTCTCTCCCTCGCCCTCTGTCCCTCCCTCCCTAAAAAAAAGATAAAGCATGTGGATATATTTTCTTTGAGACAATACGCCTTTTTAATTGGTGTATTTGCAAGCTGCTCTTGCTGTTTTGGTCATACTAATTTAAATAATCCATTGTATATTTTATCAGACCATGGCAAATGAATTCGATGAAAGGAAAGTCTCTATTTCAAAACCTAATGCCACAACAGATTATACTCAGGGTGGAAGTAGGGAAAAAATGGCTAAAGGAAGCTGCAATTCTAATTACCAAGCAGGTTATATTGCCTAATTTCCCAATGAAGAGAGACAAAAACATCCTTATAGCTTAGTTTTATTTAGCTAAAGATTGAAGGATATTCAATAATTGTCCCTTCTTATTAAATGACCATTTCTCAAATTTTTCTACTGATGTGCTCCTGACACCTTAGAGAAGGGAAAAACTCAGAAAGATCTAAGAGTAGAACCCTATAATTGGCTTCCATCCTACAAAATTGAAGTCTTGCTTTATCTTAAATTTATGTAAATTTTACACTCAGTCAAGTATCATAAAGCCAGTTCTCTTAAAGATATGAAACTCTAAACTGTGAAAGAATTAGATGCTAAGAATATTAATATTTTTTTCATGTGTCCCTAAAACACATTGGTAGAAGTAGTTTATAACAGCTGGTCTGTAGACTAGTGACAGTCTGTGGTGGTATTGTTGTCTATTTCTAGTGAAATGAGAAAAATATGTTATATCTAATTACAAAATAAGGAAAATGTATTTGTGTTGTTATAAGGTGCCTGCTGTCCTTTATCAAGAAGCTCTCCTTTATTTGGATTATGGAAACACATACGTAAGTTCACTTAGCCCTTCTAGATTGCTCTGCAGAATGTCTCTCTAACTGACCCTCATCAGCAAGGCATTAGGGTTCCATGTTTCCCCATGCCCTTACCTCCACTTGAATTGTCTGACTTTTCATTGGGTACAAAATGACATTTCCTTTTAATTTGCATTTCTCAGATTAACAAAGTTGCGCATCCATATACCTGTTTAGCCGCTTAGATTTTTCGTTTTGCCAGTTGCTTATTGATACCCTTTGCCGGTTGTCCATTGAGTTTACTAAATTTTTCTTATTGATCCATAAGAATTTTTTGTATATTCTAGATTAGGAGTCAACAAACTGTAGCCTGCAAGCCAAATCCCGCTCACCACCTATTTGTGTAAACAAGGTTTTCTTACAACATAGCCACATTCAGGGGCGCCTGGGTGGCTCAGTCTGTTGAGCCTCCGACTCTTGACTTTGGCTTAAGTTGTTATCTTGGGGTCTTGGGATCAAGCCCCTCTTTGGGCTCCGCACTCATTGGGGAGTCCACTGGAGATTCTCTCTCTCCCTCTGCCCCTCCCCCTGCCCTTTCTCTCTTTCTGAAATAAATAAATCAATATTTTTTTTAAAAAGAACACAGCCACATTCATTCATTTATATATTGTGTATGGCTGCTTTCATGCTACAACAGCAGAGTTGAGCAGTTGCAAGGAAGACCGTATAATCCCCAAAGCCTAAAATATTTACTATCTAACTGTTTACAGAACAGCCCATGTTTTATATATCAATCTCTTGTCCATTTTAGATGTTGCAAATAATTTTTACCAGTCTGTCACCCATTTATAAGTTTTATTTATGAGGTTTTGTTGTTGAATGAGTATCTTTAGTTTGATATAGTCAAATCCATTAATTTTTTGATTGTTTCATGAATCATTTTGATTCATTCACTGAAAAAGTGCTATCCTATCCCAAAGTCACAATAACATCCTACACTTTCTTCTATTTGCTTTAGAGTTGTACTTTCACAATGAGATCTTTGATTTCTAGAATGTATGGTGTGAGGTAGGAAATCCAGGTTCCAGGTTTATTTTTCTATGTAGCATGAACTATTTTTAAAACAGATATAACAGTATTTTCCTTTTTAAGATTGTTAAAGCAGTTTACATGAAATTCTTTTTCTTTTTTAAAGATTTTATTTATTTATTTGAGAGAGAGAGTGAGAGAGAGAAAGAGCACAAGAGAGGGGAGCGGGAGAGGGAGAAGCAGACTCCCTGCTGAGCAGGGAGCCCAATGCGGGACTCGATCCCGGGACTCCAGGATCATGACCTGAGCCGAAGGCAGTCGCTTAACCAACTGAGCCACCCAGGCGCCCTACATGAAATTCTTAATATGGTGCCTGGCATATTCAAGATATTATGTACTTAAATTACTTATTTTCATAATGCAGAATTATGACATAAATTTTCCCTGATATCCCTGATCACATTGGTGTCAGATCCTGCCTCCTTTTGATATGCCTTCTTGGCTTCCACTGCCTTCAGCCTCGCTCTGGTTGTCCAGAATGTCTTCCGGCCTTGATCCCTTTAAATAGTTCTTCCTCCAATTAAAATGAACCAAAAATCATAATACTTAAGGTGTTGGCTAAAGATTTTGCTCACTGAAACTATTCAAAATAACTGTGTTTGTGGGTATGTGTATTGATACCAGCCAGGCACCCCTGAACATGACATAATTAACCAACCCCTACTATTTCCAATTTTGCAATGTTATAAACAAAGCAGTGAGGAATATACTTATAACTAAATCTTTTTGCATATCTATGATTTTTTGGATAATTCTACAAACTCTTAAGATAATCTTAAAAGAAAAATTACTTTCTTGAAATGTGAACGTTTTATATATACATATCGCCTTGTTGCATTTACATTTTTTTCTCTTAATTGGATATGCAAACAGCATCCCATTTTAATTTGCATTTCTTTGTTTAGAAAAAAGTTAAACATTTTTAAATGTATTTATTGGCCATTGTGTTATTTTTGTTTATTCCCATCCTTTGCCCATTTTTCCTGGGAGTGATTATTATCTTACTGCTTTTCATCATAAGCTCAGCTCTGCCATTTGATTTGTTACATGTGAATAAATTAAAACCTCATTTAAGTATAATGCTAATGCTTATTTTTATGTTTTTATATATTATGATCTGTTAAGCTTTGCCTTATGTTTTCCACCTTTGGTGAAATGTTTTCAAAGTCTTCTCAAGATTTTATAAATATTCACAAACATTTTATGATCATTTTATGACTTCATTTTTTCAAATATTATAATCTTTAATTTACATGCAATGTATTTTGATGTTGGTGCAAAGTAGGAATATAATCTTGTGTTTTGTTATCCCTAAATGATTAGCCAGTCATCTCAAAGGAGATGGTTAGTCTTAACAGCTATTTCATGCCAGCCAGGAGGAGACATAAATTTATATCCTTTTGAGAGAATGGCTATAATAAGTGAAATTATCTCTCATTTAATAAACCATTCTTATTTATATAGGAGGCAGCTATTTATTATTTACTTTTTCAATTCAGTAATACAGTGAATTGAGAATATGTCTTGTACTTTGACAAGAGTCCTTAAATCATTTTTTTCCCTAAGGTGTTTTTAGTTTTATTGAAATAGTGTTTCTCATTCCTAAGCAATATAGATTAGCAATCTGGAGATTATCCTTAATTATATCATTATCTAAAGGTACTGTCTTCATCAACGTCTTAATTAAAATATTTTTTTGCTTCTTAGATTTTCAAGCTTTAATTCCTCTCTCTGTGGATTGTTTAATATTAGTCTTTAAAGGTTTAAAAAAAGATCTGTCTTTGAAATAGATGTCCTGATTTTAAAGTAAGTATCTTCTCTTCATCTGTTTTAATTATATAATGATTAAGTTTGGAACACTGCATTCCTTGATTATTTGTTCAAATATATGCATTTTTAGTCATAATTTAAAATCATGAAAATAAGAGGTAATGAGGATACTATGAATTTGTATTTTATTTCTTATAAAGTTTGAACAAGTGTGCTTTTTTCCCCATTTAAAATGTTTTTCTTCTGAGATCATTGTAGTTGGTTTTTAAATTTGCCAAATTTTAGAATATGACTCTTGTAAATATGCTACTCTAGGAGATGGTTATTGGATTTAAAAGTTTCCATTTTTCTTGGTTAACCCCATTCTGTAGTCACTAGAACTGATACAAATATTCTTTCATTCATTTAAGAAATATTTATTGCATACTTACTGTGTTCTTGGCATTATTCTGGGCTCCAGGGATATAGCAATAAATAAGACAGTTTTTCTTTTTTGCATTTTGTAAGGAAAAAAACCATTTATTTTTACAACAATAAATATATGCTAAGCATTACTAAGTGTTGCAGGCATGGGGTGGCAAGAGATTAAGCCAAGAAGGTTAGCAGAGGCCAGGTCTTAGAAATATGTTATGGACTTTAGTCTTAATTGCAAATGGAAGTCACTGGAAGTCTCAAGCAAAAGAGTGACATAATCACATTTGCATTTTGGTGGATCACCTTGACTAAGGATAAAGGATAGATTGGAGGGAGGCAAGAAAATTGGTTAGGAGATGATTTCACTAATCTTGGCAAGAGATGATGGTGATATAAAATAGGATGGTGACAGTAGAGGTTGAAAGAGAGAGGAGAACAAATCAAAAGTAGGATCCACTATATTTGATGGTTTCATGTGGTTTAGATTCAGGAAGGAGTTAAGAAGACTTCAGGTTTCTGGCTTGGACAATTGAATGGTGGCTAGGAAACATCAGAAAAGGAGCAGTTCAATTTGGAACTCTTGAGTTTGACAGCCTGGGAGAATTTCAAGTGGTTTGTTGGACATACAGGTCTGGAACTCTGTAGAAATTAGTTGGAGACACCATGTATAAGCTGATTTACCACAAATACGTAATTAAACCCATGGGAGTGGATAGTCTAGGGAGAGAAGGAAAGCAAAAGGAAAGAGAAGGTGTCCTAGGATAAAGCACTCAGGAACACCAGCATTTAGGTAAAAAGGGTACAAGGAAGAGGAAAAATGAACTTTAGAAAATTAGGAAGAAAACCACAAGTGAGAGTTTGGTATTAGAGAAACAAAGGGAAGAGAATGTGTCAAGATGTCAGTAATGTGAGATGGTACTGAGAGAGGCTGCCAAATGTCCGTGGGCTTTAGCAGTTCATAGGTGATCTTGAGAGAGCAGCCCCAGTACAGCACAGACAGCTGAGCCAGGTTGTGGATGGAGTGGAGTGGGGGTGCAGGGAGAGACTGCAAATGCAGAAAACGCACCCAAGAAGTTCCATTTGGGGGGTGCCTGGCTGGTTCAGTCTGTTGGGCGTCCGACGTGATTTTGGCTCAGGTCATGAGCTTGGTGTCGTGGGATGGAACTGTGGGCACGGTGTGGAGTCTGCTTGAGATTCTCTCTCCCTCTCCCTTTGCCCCTCTCCCCACTCGTACTTGGCGCTTGCTCTCTCTCTCTCTCTCTCTCTCTCTCTCTCTCTCAAATAAGTAAATAAATAAAATCTTGAAAAACAAAGTTCTATTTGGAAGGGGTGGGGAGAACTGGGACTTGGTGAAGGATGTAGAGGAAAGTGTCAGTATTGTTGTCATTGTTTTAGCACTAGGAAAATCGTGGGCATGTTTTTGGTGCTGATGGGAAGAACCTAAGAAAAAGAAAGTAGATCATCAAGGGAGGAGATTGGGCTCTAGAGCACAAGTAGAGCAAGAGCCTTCAGCAAGAGAGATGCCCTGTCTAAGAGAGGGAAAGAGAAAACATGGATACAGTTATCCTGAATCCTAAGTGTCTAGAACAGTGCTTGGCACAGAATAGGCACTCTAGAAATCCTTGTTGAGTAAGATGGAGTTCTCATATAGCTGCAAGGAGCAGTTTAGCCAACCCCCTTCTAGATAAGACATACTGTCAGAGGCAATTGAAGAACAGGTACAGAGTGCTCAGCTCTGGGATAATAGCACTGAATTTCCTGATTTTGAAAATGTTCTCTGTTTACCTAAGTTCTCGGGAAACACAGGGCTGAAGTATAGAAGTTGAAAGGGTCCAGAATAAGACTCTGTGGCATAAAAATTATTTTGAGCTGAAAACGTTTGAGTTCCTAAAATGCCTTATCTGCCTAAAAGCAGAGCTTCCCAACGGAACTCAATTGTCATAAATCTCCTACCCAGGAGCACCTCTAATCTTCTCAAACAGGCATTGATACAAAACTATCATATCTCCCACCAGTTCTTCTAGGGGCCCATTCATCTTTCCAGAAAGTTACTTGTTTTTTCTTTAAGTGCCCTTTCTTTCCTCCTTCTAAGAAGTCATTTATTCTCCCAGAAGTGACCTTCTGCCCCTACCCATCCCCTGTTAGATGCCAGATAAGCCCCAAATTCTGACTGCCTTGAGTCACATTTCTTTGTGAACTCCTGTGCTGTGTGTGTAAATAAATCTGTTTTTCCTCTTGTTCATCTGTGTTTTGTCAGTTTAATTTGCAGACATCAAGTCATTAACCTAAGAGAGTAGAGGAAGTTTTTTCTCTCTGATAGACTAAAGGGGCATGATGTGTAAAACTTACACTCACATGGTTCAGAGAGAGAGATAATAAAGCCAAAATGGCAAAATATGGGGGCGCCTGGGTGGCTCAGTCGGTTAAGCGTCTGCCTTTGGCTTGGGTCATGATCCCTGGGTCTTGGGATCGGCACATCGGCATGGGGCTCCCTGCTCCACAGGGAGCCTGCTTTCCCCTCTCCCTCTGCCTGCCACTCCCCTTACTTGTGTTCTCGCTCTCTCTGTCAAATAAATAAATAAATCTTTTTTTAAAAAATGGCAAAATGTTAACAATTGTTGAATCTCGATGAAGGGCATGAGGGAGTCGTTTATATTCTTTTTTTTCCTTTGTATTCTTCTTGAAATTTTTGTTTGAAATTGCTTCAAAATAAAATGATTTTTTTAAAGAAGAACCAGCTTCTGCATTTATTGAATCTCCACTTTTTAACTTTCTATTTTACTTTATTTCCAATTTCAACACTTTTTATTTCCAGTTTCCTGTGAATGGCAAGCATGAGGAATTTTAAAGACAGAGCTGCTTTTTGGATTTGGGCAAATTATGTCTCTGTGTTTTAATTTCTTCTTTTTGAGAATAATACCTATAAAACTTTGCTATATTAACTGAAATAGTCACACAATCGGCACTCATAAATGTTTTTTCCTACCTTTCCAGGACCTGTTCAAATCACGGTGCCCTTATGAAACCTTCCCTCATCACCTCCATGATAAAACTTATTTTCTATTGCCCCATACATTTAACTAAGTGGCTTTTTCATACATTACATCTTTGAATTCTCCCAATAACCTTCCAGTCATTTGCTTTGCCTTATAGATTAGGACATTTAATGAAGTTAAATGACTTGGCTAGGATCACACAGTCAGTAGACATGCAAGGATGAGAACTCAGGTTCTTTTAGTTCCAAGTCTTGTGTTCTTTGTTACACCATAATTTGATATTTCTCCTCAAGTGTTTTTTTTTAATTGTGGTAAAATATACATAATATAAAATTTGCCATTTTAGCCATTTTAATTGTACAGTAGTAAGTACATTCACATTGTTGTGCAACCATCACTACTGTCCATCTCCACAACTCTTCATCTTGAAAAACTGAAACCCCATACCCATTAAGCAATAACTCCCCCCTTCCAACAGCCCCTGAAAACCACCATTTTACTTTGTGTCTCTATGAGTTTGACTATTCTGGGTACCTCATATGAGTGGAATCATAGAGTATATGGCCTTTTGTTACTGTCTTATTTAACGTAGCCTAATGTCCTCAAGGTTTATCCATTTTATAGCATGTGTTCTTCCCAAGTTTTATAAATATTTGTGCTCATGGCATTCACCTGTGACCCCATGTGTCCTTGAGGGCTGTGACTCTTTGCCTACCCTTGGTATGGCCACCCACAGTGCCTAGTTCATAACAGTAGTCAATGAGCTCTCTTGAGTGGATGGCTAAGGCCACTCTAAAGGAGAAAATGATCCTCCTCTTATACGGTATATTCCAGTTTCACACCTACCCTCAGCTACTGGAGACAAGGAGATGGATGAGCATAATTGTTCTCTCTACTATTGCAGTGGAAGGCCAGGCATTTAACATAAGAAGTTTCCCCGTGGTTGGCAGGAAGGATGGCAGGCACATAAATTTTAGTCATGTACAGTTAGCTCCCTGCTCACTGTAAAAATCATATATGCGGTAGTCTTTAAAAAGAGGGAAAAAAAATCTTTTAGTAATATGAGTTGAGTGAGAGTTTGGTAATGTTCTTTTCCTCCCCTGAGAAAAATAAAAGTGACTCACCACATTATGGTAAGAATGAACTCTTTGGATGATTGGTCATCAATCTTTGATGTCATCTGAGTGTGCTGAAGATGCATTTGCCTTGTCATGCTATTTGATTATTACATAGTTCCTACACACATTAAAGGATAAAAAGAGGAGAAATGGAATAAGAAATATTTTGATATTTAGCTCTGCCACCTACTCGTGATTTCCAGAAGGGGAAGTCCCTTCTCACTAGCAGGCCCATGCCTCCGCCTCTGTGGAGCAGCAGAACTTCAAGGGCCAACCTGGCTTCAGAGCCAAGAGACAATGTAGCCTGGTCAGCAGCAGCCCCAAGAAACTCAAAGGTCTTCATCCCCTTGTCTAACAGCAGATTGCTGGACCACATGCCACCAGTCCCACTCCTGAAGCAGAACATTCAAGGAGGATGTCCAAAAAGCAGAGGCCACCTACTCCCCAGGAAGAAAGGCTATGCTTCAACCAGCCTAACTCTACTTCAAGAAAAGGCACCCAGAAGAGATGCAACCTGAGGGATTCATCCAAATGTTTCTGCCAGGATCTCTAGCACACTTTGGACACTGGAGGCATAAAGTGATTGGACGCAACCTGAAAAGTAAAGTTGTTGAATATACTAAATGACTTCCCTCTGCGTGTCTACAAAAACACCAGTAGCACATTTTTCGAACATGCAAGCTCTGTGGAGATCAAGCAACACACAGGATCTCAAAGGATCTTCCTTACTAAAGGGAAATCAATCAGGCTTTTATTTTGGCAACCTACTTATAACCTTAATCTACTTGTGGTTGTTTTATGTAGTATTAAATATTTCTCATACTGGATTGGATTTCTTAAATCTCATTTTTTATTTTCAAATCAAAACGGGAAATATAGGGGTGCCTAGGTGGCTCAGTCGGTTAAGCATCTGCCTTTGACTCAGGTCATGATCCCAGGGTCCTAAGATCGAGCCCCACATCGGGCTCTGTTCTCCCTCTCCCTCTGCCCTTACCCCCCCAACTCATGTTCTCACACACTCTGTCTCTCTCAAATAAATAAATAATCTTAAAAAAAAAATCTGCCTGAGCCAAGAGATAAGCCGGAAAACGAACCCAACTAGAAAGTTTGAGGTCAAAATGGAGGCAACCAGTCTTTCGTTTTCAATTATGTCATATAATCCATGTTTCCAATTGTGTCCTGCTGTAAGGAATACGGATTCTTATTGAATTTATGCAAATATATATTGCCATAAAAATATAAGAATACTCGGGATGCCTGGCTGGCTCAGTCGGTGGAGCATGTGACCCTTGATCTCAGGGTTGTGAGTTCAAGCCTCACGTTGGGTGTAGAGATTACTTAAAACTAAGATCTTTTAAAAAAAGTTAAAAATCTTAAAAAAAAGAACACTCACTGACAGTTTCTGAATTCTGGAGGGATCAGGTAGGGACAAAAGATGTTTCAATTTGTTCACAAAGGTATATTTTATCAAATTGCTATAAATCAGTAAGCTTAAGAGTATTTTTTTTAATTTGGAAAAACAAAGCACTTTTTTAAAGGTCAGCAATGTTTTAAACAGAAAGTCATAAAAATTACATTTACCCTCTTCAGTTCATGCAGTTCCATGTTATTACTTTTTGTTCTGCTTAAATCCAGTTTTCCCCCTAGTTTTAGAAATTCTTAGTTCACTTTTAGGATCTTTTTTTTTTTTAAGATTTTTTTATTTCTTTATTTGACAGAGAGAGACACAGCAAGAGAGGGAACCCAAGCAGGGGGAGTGGGAGAGGGAGAAGCAGGCCTCCCGCGGAGCAGGGAGACTGATGCGGGGCTCGATCCCAGGACCCTGGGATCATGACCTGAGCTGAAGGCAGACGCCTAACAACTGAGCCACCCAGGCGCCCCTCACTTTTAGGATCTTAAGGTTATCAGGAACCTATACTCAGAGGTTTTCTATGAGTATCTTTTAATATGAAACACATTTGCAACAGCATCAGAGTAAAACAGTAACTGTAAATGAACATTTCAAGTTAATAACATACCGGACATTGGATTTCTAGGAGTTTTATACCATTTTTAGAACACTTATCTTAATAAGATATCTATACAAATATAATCTAAGAGGGTTTAGTACCACTTATTTGACAATGCTTCTCATGTAATTTAACATACCAAATAAGCCTAATTAGTTTAATGTCTCACAAAATCTTTGAAATGTTCCATGAGCCCTTTGTAACACCTCAGATTGTGGCCAAAAGACTATTTTAGAATTTGATTTTGTGGGGCGTCTAGGTGGCTCAGTCGGTTAGGTACCTGCCTTCAGCCCAGGTCGTGATCCCCGGGTCCTGTGTTGAGTTCCTTGCCCAGCGGGGAGTCTGCTTCTCCCTCTCCCTCTGCCACTCCCTGCCTCTTGTGTGTTCTCTCTCTCTCTCTCTAATAAATAAATAAAATCTTTAAAAAAAATTTTATTTGGGGAAGTATGTTTAAAAAATATTAAAAGGTTTGAACATGTGATTAACTAGAATCATAAATTATTATGAAACAATATCCATTTAACCAAAGTGACAATAAAAGATATTAAAGGCAAATATAAAAGGTTACATAGTAGTGAGCAAAATTTAGCTTTTTTAATATTAAGACTCAGTTTTTGTTTTTATTTTTGTTTTGACTCCGTTTTTTTTTTTTCTAAGTAATCAAAGACCTGACAAACAGGAAATTATTTTGGCAAAACATAGAGTCTTTGTTTTTTAGGCAGATAAATTTATTTTATGTATGTATGTATGTATTTGACAGAAAGAGAGAACGAGTGCACAAGCAGGGGGAGCAGCAGAGGAAGAGGGAGCACCACTGAGCAGCGAAGGCAGATGCTTAACCGACTGAGTCACCCAGGTGCCCCTAGGCAGATAACTTTAAAGGTAAAGAAAAACTTCTGTTTACAACTTCTTATTAAGAGCAGACCAATAGTTCAAGAAAACTTTGTCCTTTTAATAAAGAGAAAACACTATTTTCATTTTTGGCATTAAAATTCATTTACTTACTGAAAATTATCTTAATCTTAGCCAGTATTGACCACACATAAATTCCTTTCAAAAGGTTCCTTTTTGGGCGCCTGGGTGGCTCAGTTGGTTAAGCGACTGCCTTCGGCTCAGGTCATGATCCTGGAGTCCCTGGATCGAGTCCCGCATCAGGCTCCCTGCTCGGCAGGGAGTCTGCTTCTCCCTCTGACCCTCCCGACCCTCCCCCCTCTCATGTGCTCTCTCTCTCTCAGTCTCTCTCTCTCAAATAAATAAATAAAACCTTAAAAAAAAAAAAAAAAAAAAAAAGGTTCCTTTTTTTTTTTTTTTTTAAAGATTTTTTTATTTATTTATTTGACAGAGAGAGTGGGAGAGGGAGAAGCAGGCTCCCTGCAGAGCAGGGAGCCCAATGCGGGACTCGATCCCAGGACCCTGGGATCATGACCTGAGCTGAAGGCAGTCGCTTAACCAACTGAGCCACCCAGGCACCCCCAAAAGGTTCCTTTTGTATAAACCCTCTACAACTTTTTTACATTCACATTTTGCCCTCAGTTTTCCCTCTTTAAATAACCAGGCTCATTTTAGGACAAAATCATTTTATTTACCTCAACTCAATAAAAATGTATTTCTATTCCTTATACTACTTCTTACCAAAAACACGTCTTATTTTCCTTGCATACAGAGTTGTTCCCCTTATTTCCAGTATTCTCATTTACATTTATTAGAATTCATAACTTTTTAAAAACTTAATTTCTAGTGAAAACTAGTAAGCAGTTGTGAGCCATCTGTTACACCATTATTCTTTACATTAGCAAATTTATGGAATACATTTCATAATTTCTAGAAACGTGCTTTTTCATAGTATAATTTTGCAATAAAACATAAACCAGGTTTACTAATAGACCCATATTTATCTTTAGTTTCTCTGTGATAAGATAAAAACAGATAAACTTATGTTTAGTACTTGATGGTTTATTATTTTGTCTTATTTGGAGATGATTTAGGTATTCAATAAATTTAACTTAACTCATTATTTAACTTAGCAAAATTTTTAAAGTTTCAGGTTACCAAAGATTTTGAAACTACTTAGAAGTTTACTTATAAACCTTTTACCTTATTTACATCTATTTAAACTACTTGTTCTTAACAATTACATTTAGATTACCCACAAAACTTTATGAGGCATCAGACAAAGTCAACCATTACTCTGGTTTTCTAGACAAATTTTGCAACAGAGATAACGGACTTATTTGACTTGCAGTGAACACAGGCAGACTACAAGTTAACTCTAAAAATGTGTATTTTAATTTAACCGACAACTTTAAATTAGCTTTCATATTGAATACTTTCCCAGATCATGTGAACTTGAAAAACATTTGGGTTAGTTTTTGTCTTTCTGAATTTTATATGCCCAATCTTACAAGCACTTGCCTTCAAACTGACTACATAGATCTCTTTTACAAGTTAATTTTAGCAATACTGTTAGGAGTTAGTTGAACAGTTAGGTAGTCAGGGCCAGGGTCCCCAACAAGAAAATATGGAGTTAGGACAGCTAAAATAAAACACTAACATCCTGTTTTACAGTTTACACAGGACCACATTAGTATTTTGCTTTGCAGCCTTTGCAGAAATGACTTCTGCAAAACGTCCTAAAATAAGGCAATTAACCACAAAGCATTTGTCACTATCACGGGCAAGGGGCAATTAAGACATAAGCCTCCAGATGTGAGCAAAAAAAGACCATCAGCACAGAGACATTAACCTAATAGATAGACAGATATGTGACCAAAGCCCTGATTGCTTAAGAAAGTTCTGCAAAAGAGCTCATAAAAACCCCTAAACTTAGAAACTCCGAGGGCAACCCTCTCGGGCCCTCCTCCCTCTCCAGGAGCTTTATACTCTTGCTCAACAACTTTGCTTTGCTGCCCACCACTCTTCTTCTGGTCTACCTCTTCATTCTTCGAAGCAGCGTGACCAAGAACCTCAGGCACTAAGGGGACAAAAATCCTGTAACATTTACATGAGCAACCTGTATACTTTGAACCTAGAGATTAGGCTGCAGTGCTTCCTGTAAATCTTGTAGGGAAAGGGAAGTTACAACAGGCAGATGAAGCTGGGTTTTAAGAAGGGAAATTTACGTTGGATGTGGACATTTATTTTTAAGTCGTAAGTCTAATTTCCATTATTTCATCTTGTCAAGGTGGTCCCTAAGGCTAGCTAATCTACTAATAAGACAGTTGAGAGCTGTCTCTTAAAAAAAAGTTTTTAATATAGTCAATTTAAAGTCTCCATCCTTCAGCCATTGAGTAGGATGTATTAATAAACCAATAAGCCTTAATGGTTTAACCAGAGATGCAAGGCATCCAAAGAGGGGTTAGATGACACAGCATCCATGATTCAAAAGTTTACTCCCAAAATTCATCTGAGAAAGCAAAGGTCTTCCTTGCACATAAGGTAAGGATGGTGTAGGGAAAACTGTGTCTCTGGTCCTCACAAAATCGTGAGATGCCTCCAATTACAGACCTGCTCATCTGTGACACTGGGCGAGTGCTCCTGGAATAGGACTTTCCAGCACTCACAAGCAACGGAGGTTGAGATGACAAGAGTTCCTCTGGGCCAGAACCTCTCATGACAAACTTCCCACAGCCAGACAGAGAGAGCGAGCCTCGGATCTCAGTCTATTTGACTGGTCACCCAGTGCACTCGAGAAAGTGCACCCTCTGAATGGTAGAGACCAAAGAGAATATTCTCACTGGTCACAAAGCCAAGCTCTTGAAAGAGGACTTCAACTACCTCCATTTTGACCTCAAACTTTCTAATTGATTAAGTTTTTCTTTCTGGCTTATCTCTTCACTCAGGCAAAAGACCCTGAGGGCAAAGCAGCAAGACCCTGCCTGTGCTTGACTTCAGGACAATGATCGACTTGACCTTCACGGCCCACCTGCAGGTACCCACCCGCCTTTGCCCCACATTTTCCTGATATAAACCTGGAAGTATTTTTAGCACTTTGGAGACAGTCTCTGAGACGCTAGTCCACTGTCTTCTGGGTATTGGCCTCACTGAAATAAATTCCTTTCTTGTTTCACCACCACTACCTTCTCTGCCTTTGGATTTTGTCAGCGGTGAGTGGCCAAACCTGTTCTGTTTGGGACCCCCGGAGCCAGGTGCTCTTGCACTCCTGTGCCCCAGCTGTACTCTTAAGACATAGAACATGACTGGGTGCCTGGGTGGCTCAGTTGGTTAAGCATCCGACTCTTGATTTCAGCTCAGGTCATGATCTCAGGGTCATGGGATCAAGCCCCGTGTTAAGGCCCAAGTTGGGCTCCACACTCAGCGGGGAGTCTGCTTGGGATTCTCTCCCTCTCCCCCTCTCCCACTCATGCTTTCTCTCTCAAATCTTAAAAAAAAACCCACACAGAACAAGAGGAAAGGGCACATCTTTTATATGCACATTACAAGCCTTGGCTAGGCCTTGGGTCTCTTGGGGCCACAGCCACACTAATACTTAGGAGGGAAGTGCAGCAGGGTTAGGGATTGTGTGTTGTTTTACAGTGTATCTCATTGCACGGAAGTTTTCTTGAGGTTCAGGGGTGACCTAGTGTCAATCTAACCTGTTCTGTGACCAACTTACCGTAACATGGGAGCCTTCTTGAGGTGGTGAGCACTCTAACAGCTTTTAAGTGTTCGACCTGTGCCCACCAATTTTGCAGCTTTGGCTTCCAACACGTTCCTTAGCAACAGCCTTACCTCATGTGGGGATTAAAGGACACCAAAGACAGACAAAGGAAAACAGAGACCATCTCTGGGAGGAAATGGATCAGTAACCAAAGAGCACTCTACCAAATGTAGCCAAAGTGTAACCTAGCCAAAGGAACTAGTTCCACAAGTATTTTCTCCTGCTAAATTCAGAAAGAGAGAAAAAGGTCTCTCACCACTATGGTTCCATTTGCCTCCACAGATAGAGATTCCAGGAGGCTGACATGGTAAGAAATCTTACCTGCTACTGGCTGAATGTCAGAAGTCCCAAGGATCTCTCAGCTGCAGCAGTGTCAGGGTAAGAGGTGTCCAGCGAATTCAAGTATCTTGTGGATTATATCATGTTGGGGAGAAAGAATTTCCTTTGCCCTTTAAGACCCTCTAGCTTGGAGGTGAGTGGGTGGTGCAGTTGATTAAGCATCCTGCTCTTGGTTTTGGTTCAGGTCGTGATCTCATGGTTGTGAGATCAAGCCCGGCGTCTGGCTCCACACTCAGCGTGGAGTCTACTTGAGAGTCTCTCTCCCTCTACCCCTCTCCTCCACCCTCCTGCTCATGGTCTCTCTCTCAAATGAATAAATAAATCTTTAAAAAAAAAAAAAAGACCCTCTAGCTGGACTAAGAGTCAAAGTGACATGAGACAGATTAATAGAAGAAAATCAAATTTGGGGCGCCTGAGTGGCTCAGTCCATTAAGCAGCTACCTTCGGCTCAGGTCATGATCCTGGGGTCTTGGGATCGAGCCCCACATCTGGCTCCCTGCTCAGCGGAGAGCCTGTTTCTCCCTCTCCATTTGCCTTCCACTCTGCCTACTTGTGCTCTCTCTCTCTCTCTCTCTCTGTCAAATAAATAAATAAAATCTTAAAAAAAAAAAAAAGAAAAAAAAGAAAATCAAATTTAATAGCAAACATACAGGGAATCCATCCAAGCAGGGAGCCCGATGCAGGGCTGGATCCCAGGACCCTGGGATCATGACCTGGGCCGAAGGCTTAATGACTGAGCCACCCAGGCGCCCCTGTATTTAAAATCTTCTTGAATCAGTTAAGATGCTTTTACCTGTGAATAAGAATATCCAACTAAAAGTGGCAGATATAACAGGAAGTTTCATTGTCTTACCTAACAAGAAGTTTAGAGGTAGATGGTCATCCCAGCTAAACAGTGTTGTCAGTGACCCAGGCTCTTTCCATCCCTATATGTTGTCATTCTCAGCATGTTCGCTTTTGTCTAGTGCTTAATGGCTGCAATATGGTCTCCACAGCTCCCATAGCCTATGAAATGACAGGAAGGAAGAAGTGGGAAAGAAAGCTCTCCTTGAATATCCTGCTTTCATCCGGATGGAAAATCTTTCTAGACGCATCTAAAGAAGAGTGCTGCTGAAGGGTTCGCTGACCAAACCTGGGCCACATGGCCAGCGCTACCAGCAAGGAGGGTGAGAGAGAGAGTATCTGGTATTTTTAGCCTCTATTATAAGAGGCAGACCCTGCCAGAAGGTAAAAGAGAGAGAGGAATAGCTTTTTGGTAAGCAACCAAACCTGTGTGCCGATTCATATTTTGGGAGAATGTTCCTCAATCTAAAAACCTGTGATGTTACCAAAGTTCTATGAGCATTCTAAATAGCTATCTCTTCTCTATATTTCCCGTTTTTTAAAGATATTTTATCTATTTATTTGAAAGGGAGAGAGAAAGGGAGAGAGAGAGCACATGAACTGGGGGTGGGGGGGGGAAGAGCAGAGGGAGAGGGAGAAGCAGACTCCCTGATGAGCAGAGAACCCGACTTCGGGCTCCATCCCAGGACCCTGGGATCATGACCTGAGCAGGGGGGCTTGTAAGGTGGATCAGGGCAGACTTAGAGACTTAGAAGGCAGACACTTAACCGACTGAGCCACAGTAGCTCACATATTGGCAATCTATATGTTTGTTGCTCTTTGGGCCATTCAAAAAGATCACCACGGGGCATCTGGCTGGCTGTCAGTAGAGCATGCGACTCTTGATGTCAGGGTTATGAGTTCAAGCCCCACATTGGGCTTGTAGTTCAAATGTTTGTGGTTTATAATGTGATCCAATCATTAACCATTCTTTTTCTTTTGTTTCCATAGAAATGTCTCTTATTTAAAACCTGATTGCTTGAACCATAGGCCTAACTTTGAGAACACAATTGCATCACTGCCTCCTGAAATGAATTTAACTGAACTAACTTATTGCAGGGGCTGGTTCAACAAGACAGAATGGTCTACCTGATTAACTTTTATATGTGAAACTTAAGGGAAGTTTCAGAGGAGGAAACTGTAGGGGCCAAGGGCAGTATGCCCCAAGATGGGCCACTTTGGCATGAACATTATTTTGAGTCAAAAGCAATCAAAACCCAGCATATTCAAGAAAAGCTCTTTACCTCCCCCTCAACTGCTTGTTGGTTCCAGGAAGAGAGCTATTTACAGAGATTCCTCTCTACCCAAGAAACTTACCCACGTAATAGGGCAACTTTGTTTTTCAAACACCTCCTCTCACCTTCCTGCTAATGATCTTTCTCCCCTTTGTATCCTCAGACCCCTATCCTGCTCCTGAGCTCATATAAACCTCATGTTGTTTGACTATCTTTGGGATTTGCATGTCTGTTGATTCCATACTTATGAAATTTAATTTGATTTATTCCTGTCAATCTTTCTCATGTCAGTTTGATTCTTGGTCCAGTTAGAAGGACCTGGAAGAGCAGAAGAAATTTTTCCTCCCTGACACAGCCTTTCCAATTTACTCATTATATACTCAGCTGGGCTAAAAATGTAGCTTTCTTATTTCTCTAAGTCTGCCCTGATCTACCTTACAAGCTCCCATATTCTCGGTGGAAGCTGGGAGGAGGGACAAGATCAAGTCTAATTTGTTAACCTGAATTCAAGCTTATAAAATGTCTTTGTAGGTAAACAGTCTCTACTTGGATGACTTTGTGAAGAACTCAGCCAGTCAGATTTCCACCCTCCCTCTACTCCTCTCCAAGAAGACATCCAGGTGTGTGAGGGAGGGATGTGGCTTTTATGACCTCAAAGTGGCAAAGGGCATATGTTAATCCTCCCAAAGAAAAGCAGAATCCAGACCGCCCCACTTCTGTCTTCTGCTTTCCCAGCAGCCTAGCTAACCTATTTCCTTCCCCAGTACTTCAGCCTGGAAGGAAGAGATCAGGACAACTCTGTCTTGTGATCTTCCTCCCAAACACCACTCCCCCATTTCCCTGTAACTGATCCAGAATTGCTTTTCCCCTCATTCTTTACAGCCTGGAGGAGTCTCCCTTCTATTCTGCACACAGGCCCTATGTATTAAAAAGGAAGCTTTGTCATTTAGAAATCCCTTTCTCCAAAAAGCCTGGGTTTTATGTACATTGTCTTACTAAAAAGTTAGGTGAAGAAAATCAGCTTTGAAATCGGCCTCTCTCTTATGAGCAGCACCTGTCTGTCCTTCCTTTCTTGGGACAGTAAACTTGATGACTCTGTCAGAAGGCTAATAGGACATGGGATTTAAAGGGGGGGGGAATCAAAATGCGTTGATTTAATTCCTATAAAATATGTTCCCCAGAGAAGTGAAATTGGATGAACTAAAGAAAAGAGATTCATTTTCTTGGGTGCTTGTGAGCTCCATCTCTTTTTCTTCATAGAGACAAAGTATAACTTTCAAAAACATGACCCTAATGAAAATATAGAATGAATACATGTCACAGGTTTTATGCATTAATGAGGGAAGCAGGAGAATGGTAAATACGGTACAAAGGAGAATTTGAAAGACAGATTTATAGGTTCATAAAGGAAAAGGATGCTGAAATAAGTTTGCTAAATTAGAAGCAAAATAGGACAATAAATCCAGAACCTCTGCACAGAAATCTTTGGCATCTCTCCTGGACAAAAACCTACAAGTTAACATGTCTGAGCTTTAACCAAGCAACTGTGCATTCCTCTGAAGAACTAAATATTCCTTTGGTGGGCCTGTTAGATAAAGACCTTGAAATAAAGCTTTAGTCCAAGGTTCAAAGGACAAGCAGTCATCCTTTTGCTTTGGTTCCAAGTGTTAAGTAACTTTTCTTAACATAATCAAATGTTGCATACATCCCACCCACCTTAAGGTAACCTTTGTAACCTTAAGGGTTACAAACCCAGTATGGTGGGAGTTGATGAAATAAAGGGCCGTGAATGGATTTATAAAGAGCCTATAGAAATAAAAGATGTGGTTTAAAGCAAGGCCAGTTTTCTACCTTAGAGATACAAGTGAATAGGTATCTTTAAAAACCTAAAATTGTGATGTTGCTCCAAACCTGCAGATTTTAGAGATACCTTTTTACTCACAAATTACCCTTTCCTGAGAATCATAATCTAAATATATTTAATTAAGCATAAATGATTCCATTACCAAAGCAGATTAATCTGGTAAATGAAACCATAAGGGCATGTGATTATTTTTCAATCATAGGTTACATAGGTTACTACAGCCCATGTAATGTATGCTAGCCTATTCGTTTACTGAAGTGACAAACATTATTTCATCAATCAGGCATATTCAGAGTTGGCTTAACTTTAAGGAATTTCGCATAGTTCACATATAAACCACTCTCCAACTGATAGTAGTTTCCAAAACAGATCTGATTTTTAAAAATTTCATAACAGCTCATTTGTAATACCATCCTCCCTATTCAGATGGTTATTGAAGTATCCTCTTGGTTAGAGAGCAATGAAAGGAAATGAATATTATAAAAGAACAAAGCCTACTCTGAGTAGCAGTTTCCCCATGGAATTTCATTTTCTGAGTAGAGCCCAAGATCATCTGATTAAAAAGCTCAAATCTTCTAAAACTTTCTCTTGATGTCTGCGGTGTGTGTAACATGAGCACGTTTCCATATTAAGGTTATTCAGCTGTGGAAAACACAAGAACTCGCACAAAGCTTTCCCTTTAAAAGTTGGAGATATCTAAGACGGCACGTTGGTGTAGCAATGAGAAATCTTTAAATGTTGGTCACCAACTGTTTGGCAGTGGGTTTTGTTTGTTTTGTTTTGTTTTGTTTTTCTTTTTGTCCTGCAAGAAAGCAAAGACAAACATTTTGGAAAGCACTGTAACTTAAAGGCATGACCAAAGCTAAGAAATTTAAGTAAGCGTGTCACAGAAACACAGGAACATAGATTTTGTTGGCTAATCCAAACAGATAATTAATCATGTTCCTGACAGTGTGGAATGCAGATTTGCCTGCTATTTGCAGAAACTTTAGCAGGCAGGCCAAGAGCTTTCTTGGAATCTGGAGTGGCTTGAGGAGCTATAAGACAGTGATTTCAAGATCTACAGATTTCTTGAACCAGTAAAATTTCAAAATAATGTTGCAGACCAACACGGTGTTAACTTATTTTGGCAAATAATAATATTGGGGGGGAAATCTTAATATTTGTAATTGACATCCAGTTATGAACTGGTCTCAAAAAACCCATTTTGGGGTTGGGTTTGGGTGTTTTGTTTTGTTTTGATGGCAGTTCATAATTGGATTCACCAGTAGATATGGGGTCAAGATATCTTTAGGGTAACTTAGCTTCTTTCTAAAACCTTTCATTAGTGACTAACAAGCACATTGAAGTACCTGCCATCCATGGCTGATCAAAATGAATGCTACTCCTGAGAAGGGGGAGTGTGACAGGATTAGACTTTGGCTCTAGATAAGGTCTTGGTTCTTGAGAGTTCTTCTTAGAGATCATCTTGTCTTAAGGAGGATTTTTTTCAAATGGTGAGGAGATAGGAGATTTAAACATTGACCAGATTCTGACTGGGGCATTTATTCAGCTTTCTTCTGACCTACATGACCTTTAAACAAAAATCAAGTCAAATTCCTTGAATGTCTATTACTAAGAGTATTGTGCTAAGCTCTGGGGCAAAATTTCTCAAACTTAAAGTCTTAATAAATAGAGCCTCAGAACTTATCAAAAGGGCAGACTTCTGTGTTTCAGGACCGAATGAAGTCTGAGATGGCAGCCCTGGAATCCCAGTTTTTAACACGTATAATGTGATTTTGATGCACATGGTCCATGGACCCCATCTTGAGAAACATTGTTTTAGGAACTCTAAGGAAGTCAGTAACGGCACACTAGCTAATTCAGATCACCCCTCCTGCTGAACATAATTTACTAAAAATTTAGAAGCATCAAAACGCTAACAAAATATTGACAAATTCCAAGGGTGAGACCCAGAAGAGAATGGAAATCCAGAGGAGTGAGCCTGGTCATTTTTGGACATGTTTACCTTACAGTCATTAGCTGATCCTGAAGAGACAGTTGAGAGGGTTAGCTGTCTTTTTAGCAACCTTGTGGGATTAGGGGGACAAAAGTCAGATCAGGACCTGACAAGGGTGGAGACCTGGTAAACCATTCCCCATTCCACATGCACACACTCCCCCCAGGAGTAAGGGTGAACTGGAAAAGGCTTGCTTGAAAAAAATCTCAAATCTTGAA